AATCTGATTATTTACTCGTTGAAAGAGTTCCTCTTTACATTGCTACGGTAACATGTCTACAGTACCCGATCATCCTGGATTTAACTTACTTACCGTGCAGACTGTGTGGGTCCTCTGTGGTTTGTAAAGAAGGTTTGCAGTAGATTCATAATCATGTGGGAAACATTTATACATGTTAAAAAAAAAAAAAAAAGGAGTGCACCCCCCCCAGTAATATTCCAACACACTTCAATTGGCAAAATATATACCAATAATAGATCATGCAACTCCAAAAACCCAGCTACAGCATCAAGTCCTTTACAGAACCCACATCACCACTCACAGGCTCTACCGTAAGAGCATCAGCCAATGTTCACATTGTCCAACTGCATTACAACGGATAACTACTTGCTCTATACCTCTGCCGATACATTCAAAACTTCTGGTAGGAGATCATAAGCGGGTCCTCTGCGATCCCCCAGCATCCCCCTTAGACCCATCATTGCAGAACTTTTTGCAAAACCTTCAACCATGATCCTGCCAAGTTCTCCACACATGGTTCCTCGTGTATGTCTCACACTGAATTGTAAATTCAATGTGAAAAAAATATCTTTTGTATATATTTGCCCGCGTATTAAAGATACAGGTCATGAAGACATAGGTGGCGATTCCATGTATGTTTGTTAGGCTTCATTTAGACTTTACAGGACCTTTATGAGAAGATGTACAATACTTGTGCAGAGTTTGGCACATGATTCAACAGAGGAGGAACAGTTACAATAGAACAATGTCTTTTGTTCTCTAAAATGCTGCTTCAGTGTTGTACTTCACGAGATTTTCATGTATTTTATTGTTGTAGCCTTTGGTTTTAACCTCTCTTTTGATAGTTAGATATAGAACACATGTCGCATGATTACAATAAAACAATTAGAGGTGGGAGCTGGCGCAGATAATAATCAGAGGTTGTAGGTTTCTTTTGGATAATTGACTTGAGAAGAACCTTCTCAACAACTTTAAATTGTCTTGTTTAAAGTGTTCAACCATTTATCTTTCTTGGTCTGCATAGGAGGAGAAACTGAAGTCATTGATGTATTACTCTGCTCTTAAGCAGTCAAAGCAGGTACAGTAAGCTTTTTTCTAATTTTATCTCAAGACTGTCCCTTGTTGCTGCAGCCTGAGCGCTGACCTCACAGCGTTCACATCAGACTTTTGCTTCATTGGATGTTTTAGAGGTATGCTCCTTTATCTTTCCCAGTGGGATGGCTGTCATGACTTCTACATGTGACTCTTAAACATTAAACTGACAGGTGGAATAAAATAAAATCGGAGGTGCATGTCATGATGCTTTTAAGACCAATGTATCCCTCCATTAAGTGTACCCTTAAACTGGTGTTTAAGGTCAAGTGCTAATACAATTTGTATTAAATAATCAAAGTGTGTTTAAAGGGTCTTTCCAATGGGCCTGCACTGTTCTATTCGGTCAAATGCTTCTGTCTCACCTCACCCTTAAAACAAAGCATGAATGTTTAAGCTTTAACATCGATAGTTTGGGATATAAAACACTTCATCTCTCAACAGTAACTCTCCTGCCTGATGTTAATTTATTCTGATATTGATTCTCCATTAAATTACAGAGTACCTTCAACATATCTGTTTAACAACTTGGCAAGCCACAGTTAAAATAAAGAACCTATCGACAAATTAATTGCACAGTCAATAACAGAGGTTACTAAACTAAACCCACTTTACAATGTGCTTGAAATGTACCTCAGCCAGTAGACAGAAAAAAAATAATGAATCCCCTTTCTTTTTCTTTTTTTTTTTTTTAAACTTTACTCACACCTAATTTGCAGCTGCACAGTTGCCTTATTTGCATTCCTTCAGCCAGCTTTGTCGCATTGCCACATGCTGGCATACAGATGCTGTCCTCTCTCCAAATTGCCTGCAAAGTAGCTTCTGGACATCAGCAGCCTCCCTGTCTGTGTGTAACCCTTTGTGACTGCTGTGTTCACGTTTTTTCCAGCCTGATTCCTCTAGTGTCTCTCAGACACAAACTGCTCCTGTCATCAGGCAGCTGGATTCTGCTGTGATCATCCTGCTCCCCCCCCCCCCCCCCCGTTGTCTTTCTGACATCAACAACAGTCAGAGAAGAAGAACACAAACCAGAGTCTCTTGCTAACAATGTGACTCAGACAATATCTGTGTTGAGAGTTTGTTTGCCATCTTTTGTTATCATGAATTACCCATGGCCAAGACAGAGAGAGATTGTAAAGTGATGATGCTGGAAACAAATATCAAAAGTTTTAGTCCATCAACCACCAAGCAAACAAACCGTTTAGGAAAAACTGTCCTTTAACGTTGACATTTTCTTCTTAAAAAGGCAGAATGTGCACATAAATACAGCAGAAATCCAAAACATCCTCTGTAAATGTCTCTCTGAGTCATGACTGTCTACAATGAATGAGAAGCGTGAGTCTCACCAGCTGTACAGATGTCAGAGCCGTGCATACCTCATGATTACATGGACAGGACGGCCTTGTGTATAAAGCCGTTTCAATCAAGGACTAAAGAGAAAAGAATAATAACAGTCTACTCACGGCTTATTTGAATGTCACGTAAGTGTTTTCAGATCACGGTCGTTCCGTGTAAATTTATGTGCAATATGAAGATGAGTTAAGCAAAGTGTGCTAACATTAGCCTGCAAACGCAACAATGCAGGCCACGGGCGATTGCAGCTCGCGCTAAGGACAATTTTGTCCACCGCTTGCGCTTAAATGGTGCGTTCTATTTGATAACTCCTTCTTGCTAATGCGGGTTGAGGGGGAGTTAGAGGTGTGCCGCTGGAGGAGAACGGAGGCTTTAGGACAGCGGAGGTGTCGCCAAACAGCCGTGTGTTTTGGTTTAGTTCTGGTGCTCAAGTGCGACATCTACTGGATCAGAAGTTGCACGTTCTTCCTTTAAATTCAGAAACATAATGCATCCAAAGCCATTTTAGAGACTCATTAAATTCCCAAGAGAAAACTTTTGAGTCCCACAGCCTTAAAACTCATTACTCAATTTATGTAGAACATTTCCTAGAGAGAGGGAAGACACGGAGCACGCTCTCCTGGCTGTGAAATTAATCAGTCATGTTTAATGGAAGCTGGCATGGACGTTTGATTATTCACTAAGAAGGAATCCAGGATGAGGCAAAAGCAGCATGCTAGCATTTAAGGCAGTGAAGAGCTCACGGGCAAATGTAGCTGCAGGGAGGGAGCGTTCAAGACAACACTTCACACATCGGTGAGACAGCAGAGCTGCAGGCAGCAGGGCAGCCCCCCTCTTTCTCTGCTGTCACTGATGGTGTGACAAGGTTCAATGCTCTGACCCTTCAGTCAGCCCTCACAGCCTCCTGTACTTCACTAGACCCCAGGAGCAAGCATGCACATATCATATGACACATCTTCCATCTTTTGAATAACTAAGAACAAAAGATACAGTACTTTCAAGTAGGCTACTGATAGTGATTTTGTTGCACTTCCCTTATTCCTTCACAGTTGTCTTTCAGGTCATTTGAATTGTCTTCTGAGGATGAAAAACACCTTTGAAAGCATTGGGTTTACTTCAATATGGGATTTATAGTATTGTATGTGTTTAAGATTATAATAGTAGGGCTGGGCAATACGGATCAAAACTCATATCTCGATATTGTCAGGGGATATTATACATGATATATTCATACTTTTTTTTTTAAGAATAATAAAATCTATGTAAGTTGAGTTCTAAGACAAATCCATATGGGCCAAACGCTAAATGTCTTTCATTAACAGTCGGCTGCACAATGTCAACATGGACATGAAAGATTACAAAAATATAAACTAAACTAGGTGAACTGCTAGTTCTACGGATGACACATAAAACCATATTTGAATGCAACATAAACTATATCGATATAAAACGATATTGTCTTCCCTTATATCTTTTTTGAAAATATATCGATATCTCAGAAAATCTTCATATATCGCCCAGCCTTAAATAAGATGTAGTGGCGGCTGTATAGCTCAGTCTGTAGGGACTTGGGTCAAGTCCGGGCACTGACCAAGTCCGGAAATTGGCTTGGTAGCTGAAGAGGTGCCAGTCCACTTCCTGAGCACTGCCAAGGTGCCATTGAGCAAGGCACCAAACCCCCCAAAAAACAGCTCTGAAGCGTTCACTGTGGGCAGCCCCCTCACTCTGAGACCTCTCCATTAATTGCACGTCCATAGGATCCTGTTTGTGTGTGATTAATAAAGTGTAACTTGTAAATTATTTCATCTTGAGTGGCTCAGTGTTATATTGTAATCTACCTCAGGTTTATGCATTATGAGATGAAAAAGTAACAAACCTTTCAATAATTAATCAAGAACTATTTAATTTTTTTTAAATTATTTTAGTCTACAAGTTTCTTGTTTTGTTTGTTCATAATAAATTCAATTACATGTGACAGAGTACAACATCAATCTCTCAACTATTAGTCACTGAAAAGTTCACATTTGTATTTGAATTTCCTGAACAATTAGAACAATTTCTCTATTAAAACATCTTGCTCAGATTAATTCTTTGTGACTCAAATAATCGATTATTCGGCTAATTTCCGGTGTCCGTTTGAATTCGCTAGGTTTTTTTTTTTTTACAGCCACAGCTGTTAAAATGGGAAAGGGACAACTTGCAGTGGGAACAGCTCACACGGAAGTAAAATAAACCAATAACAATTGAGACAAAACTACACAACACACCACAAGAGGCTACAGCTTGTAATTGTGCTGTTTTTGTTTGTTACTGAGAAACAATAGTAGGCCTACATTGAGCTTGGATAGATTTGGCAACAGGACAAACAAAAGCTCTCGAGGAAGAAAACACCAACAGTCCGTCAGCAGCCAGAGGCACAGAGTGTCCTTCTTTTTTTCCCCCTCTCTACATTTTACTGCTTCTGCTTCATCGCCAAAAAATCTTAACAACATTGTAACAAATCCAAACATTAACACACTTCTCGTCTCACTCACTTTCGTGCTTTGAAGTTCCCCATGTGTGCCGCGGGACTCCGGGGCTCTTGATAATCGCTCTGCCGGCGGATTTGAGGGCATCCATCCCGAGGTGTGTCTGCTCTCCGGCAGGTGGATTCCCCAGTCTCCGGACCACGAGGGGTGGGAGGGGGAGCAAAATACAGCAAGCTGGAATCGACGGTGGATGCACCAACAGAGAGGAAAAGACGGAAAGGAAGCTCCAGTAATATAAGTTCCCACCCTTAATGGCTGTCGTTTGCTCTCCACGCACAGACTGAGGAGCCCAGCACGTGCACCTACTGCACCGCTGCCAAAGTTAAGGGCGTGTCCTTCCAACCTTGATCATCTCACAGTCACCGAGCGCCCTTTGAAGTGCTCTAGGCTCAAGTCCTTCAGGACATAAACATTATGTCCTGAAGGACATTATGTCACCGTGGAAAAGATTCACTAATGGTTAACGAGCTTACAATTGCTTCTACTTTCACAGGAGTTATATATGTTTTATTGACTATTACATGATACACTGTATTTGGTCTATAAAAGAGCTGCATTATCCCTTTATAGTGACCTGCACCAGAAACAATACGCTGCTGTTTTTTGATGAACTTTTCCCTGCCTCCCCTTGTTGTTAAGGTGGGTCAAAAATATCTTCTAAAATTCGATGGTGAGAATACATTTAATCGAGTAACTCAATGTTAAGTTATTGGGTACTACAGAGATATAGTCAATCCATTTATACATCTAAACTACATTTCAGAGGCTGGAAGTGACTTTAATATGCCTTTTAATATAAATAAAAAACATTGGCTTCAAGTTAATTCAAACTCGCCAGTGAATGTTACACAATACATAATGATGTATTACTATGAGTGTACAATAGTATTAAGAAATCAAACTTGGGACCACCTTCTCCAGTTGAAACATTAAAGTGATGTTAACTTTTTGACAATGGGTACTTTGGCGTAAATTTATGCTCAGTATCAAATGATACAGTCAACCGATTGAAACTAATGCTTTAAACTTCAGTATGATGGCGCCCTCTTCAGATTGAAGCTTGTAATTACAAGCTTGCCCCCCCACAATCTTTTCAGTATGTGTACTCTGTAGTAATATTTAAATGTACAGTACTAAAAGAATGTGTTAAGTTCCTTCTAGCAAAATAAATAAGAAATCACTTTTTAAATCATCCCTAAAATAATACAAATACATGTTTGAGCGTCATTGTCACCTCATAGCCTATATGTGTTTTTGTAATGGATCATTGTATATCAGGACATACATAACAAATAACAGGTGGTTATAAGATTTTTGAATTTGACTTGACATTTAAGAGTAAAGACTTCAAAACATAAAAAAAAGATATAGTCTGCAACATCCCCAGTTTGGTTTCCAAGAGAAAACAAGTTCATGACAGATACAAAACATGCATTGCAATTTTGTCCTTCATGGTGAAATCTTTATTTAAATTCTCTCAACAACTCAGTTCATGTTCTCATGTCACGTCTGAGTTCAGATCTTACAAATATTTCACACTCAGGAAGCTAAGCAGCGCATGTAAAGTCATGTATTTCTCATAAATCATCTAAAAGGGGTTGTTAGAGTTTAGCCTGAGGTGGCATGCTGCTGTTGTAATTTGGTGCTCTGTGATCATTCGAGAGGGTCTTGAGTTTATATTTAATGCTTTAGCTGCACACTCTACTGCAAGTACACTGCTGTGCGTGTGGGCATATACAGTATGTGTGTATGTGTGTGTGAATGTGCATGTTTGAATCTGCTTGTGTGTGTTTATCCAGCACACACAGCAAGTAGCAGAATCATGCAGCCACTTTTGGATTTAAAACTTGCCAGAAAAACACTGCAGTATTGCTGCCATGTTGTTGCCTTAATTTTAATAGAAAACAATCTATAGCAATGTCTCCCTCTTTAGAGTCTCAGAATACAGCTGCACTAAAACAATGCATAAGTGACATTGCCCTCTGTCTGCGCCCCATGGAAGACTGTGGATTTGAGATTAAATGTTATCATTGATGGTGTTTCTAAACCTTCTGGTTATTTAAAAAAAAAAAGAACTTCCATAATGTCACAGAGCACCTTTCACTCCAAAAGAGAACAACAGGTTCAGGCTTCAACAGTTCCAGATGTCATTTTCGACTGGACATTTTTCACAAAAGAGTGAACAGACAGTGAAGCATGCGTCATCTGTTAATGGTTCCCCAATTTAGGTTTAACCACTGCATCATAAAATCCTTGGAGGGAGGTGAGGTCACTAAAATAAGTGTAAGAGTGGACAGAAAGAGGGCTTCATGTAGTAGATGTATGACAGAGGGGGAGTAAAATAGATCCTAACAGATAAGACAACATAGAAAAATAAAAGTGTGAACTAGTCAGCGAACATGCTCTCAGCCACTTCTGTTTTAGATGCTATCCTGATGTCTGCAAAACAGATTTTCCCTCGTCAATATTTCTATCATTGTCTCATGCTTTAAGTCTCATACAAACACTCTCACACCCTCGTGTTTTCATTTGCTTTCTCTTATCGGCATCATTCTTATAGGCTGGAGCTTGAAGGCATCGTGTGGGAGGGCCTGTCTTAGAAGCAGGAAGTGGCCTTGGACAACGATTCTCAGGTCAATCCAGCTGGAACATCAGCTCATGGATTTGTTTTCATCCAACAAACCTGCCTAATCTTCAACCAATCACAAAGCCTGCATCAGAGGACCTCATACACCATCTATTTCAAAGACTGGGTAAACTGTCCCTTCATATGCTTCTCCTTCTTCCCCTCCTGGTTTCTCTCTTCCCTCCTGCTCCTCTCCTCCTCCTCCTCCTCCTCCTCCCTCTTGTCTTTCTTCTGGTTCAGAGGCACACAGGTAGTCTTGGGACTGGGACTGCGAGTGTCCCAGGGACTGTGATTTTCCCAGGGACTCCACTGACAAGCTTCGGCTAGACAGGATGCTACTGAGGCTGGACTGGCGGGCGCCTCTTGGATGGGTCTCAATTTCAACATGGACCTCAATATTGGTTCCTTCCCTGCAGGGACATATAAAAACACAAAATAAAATCCATTTAAAGCTGCCTGGCAATCATAATGTTAATTACTTCAGGAAGTTTATGCAATAAAAATGGCATTCAGTAAATATCTCCCACAGTCACATGCTAGACAAACAACAGGCTTATATACTACAATTAGCTCTTTGGACATGGACTCAAGTATTAGATGATTTATCCATCTAAAAAATAAGTAATCCCCAAAGTTATTACAAATTAACTTTACGTTTTGGCAATCCATCCAAAAGTTATCAAGACATTTCAAACTGAACCCATAGTGTTGGATGGAATAACATCGCAGTCTTCAAAGCAATGCCTTCAGCAAGGCTAAAACTTTGCCAAAAGACAAAATTTACCTCAAAGCAAGCGCTTGCGTGGCATCGAGCTTTCCATCAGGCACAATTACAACCTCACAGTCTGATTGGCTGTTCTGCTGGGTGTACTGGGGTTTCGAGGCGTCATCAAACACCTCATAGCTATCTAAATCTGGGGGTGTGATGCTTGTACTGGGGAGTACACCAACTTCCTGTACACTGACTCTAACTTCCTGGACGCTAGTGTCACTGGACGTTGGGTTGTTTTGACCCGTCCAGTGGTCGCTGACCACATGAGAGAAAAGGAGATCTATAAGAGAAGGAAAGAGTTCATCAGATCAAGCTGCACAACAAAATTAAAATGTACAAGTTACTTGTTTCACTAGCGAGAGGCTGGAGATGATTAGCTTAGCTGAACACAGAGGTATAAAGTGGTGGGAAATTCAAAAAAATGCCTTCCAGCAAATCCAAGGCACACTTATGTTGTTTGTTTGAACCCCAAACAGTTTGTTTCTTAACTTCATTGTTGTTGCCAGGCAACCAGCAAGATGACAGGCATTTACTGTGCTTTGTTTTTGCTCAACAATAAATATTTCCAGCACTCAAGTCCTCATAAAACCCCAGCTTGTAGTTTTTATAGTATTGTTTGTGTACTGATTAATCAACCAAGATGTAACAAAAGCATCACTAAGTTTTATAGGTGCTGGATATTTTTTTTTGTTAACTGCTTCATGCTGCTTCCAGTCTTGTTGCTAAGTTAGGCTAGTAACCTCCTGGCTCCAACTCCATAACTTATAATGAAATGAGGTTGGTAGAAATGTCCTTATCTAGCTGTTCAAATGAAAGCCAGTAAATCATTTCTCATAATGTCGCACTCACAGCTGGCTAAGTCCTCCAGTTGGATTTTGTGTGTTTCAGGGGGCTCACTCTGCGGTCGACACCATCCATTTCTACAGAGCGACATGGGGACCACCCCATAGACATAAGTCAACATTAGAGGAACCCCAACACCTGCAGGAAAACAAAAACGTATATGAGAATTAAAAAGGCATTTCTTGCAAACATATTTCTAGGGTTTTTGTCAAAAAAGTATCTTTTAACAATTTGATTTCAGACACTTGAATCTGACAGTCTGCTTACACACTGGATTATGGACTTCCCATAATTCAAGCGCACATCATCTACTAGTAGACCCCCCCCCCCATGCCTGAAAGATCCTTTCACCTTTTAATGGCTTTCATTTTCAATTTCCAAAATACAAATTTGCAACAGCTTTTTCATATTGCTGTATTGTCCAAATGAAACACAAGAGGGCGCCCCTTCTGCTTCACTGGGCCCCACATAGAACAAATTTGCAAAAGTGTTGTTGGCAATTTAGACTCCATAGTTTTTCAATTTTGGTTTTACAAATAATGTCAGTACAACTATTTTCTGCAATCTCTTTTAATTGGGGGAAACCTGGTGTAACATTGATCATCAATTGTACGCATGTATTTGAATCTTCTGCTATCTCTGAATATTACTTGCAATTATTTCAATTGGAATCATTTCATCAATCTAATTTAATCTGTCTGATCTTTGTGTGCTTTGAAAATAAATGTTATGCTATTCATATTTGATCTAAATCATTGTCGTCAGTCTGTTGATGCATATTTTCATTTATCAAAAGATGGTGTGCTGTTTTTTATTTCATTTGGGATATTTCCTGTTGATTAAAGTATATAAATGAATATACATTTATTATAATGGGATATGGAAAGACAAGGTCTTCCATGTACAATTCTGACAATACATGATAGAATAAATAATACAATATATAAATTAATATATGAAGTACTCGCTGATGGATCATCTGCTTTAATGTAAAGTCTAAAATACGAAATAACTAAGTTTGATTTCTCCCCACTTTCCTTCATAACCTTCCAAAAGTGCTTTTGAAAAGGACGATGGGCAGCAGCCCCCCCCCCCCCCCCCCGTGCTGTGTGATTATGCAACCTGTGATTGAGATAGGAATTTGGGAACACAAAGCAGAGTGACGACCAAACAAAGGGACATCATTAACACAGCGGGAACTTGGACGCGAATGACACAGCAACGGGGTGAAACCAGGGCAAGAGGATGAGCCTTGCCAGCCTGTGAGAGGCTGTGTGTGTATGTTGGTGTGTGTCTGAAGCGACAGGATAGTGAGCTGTGACTGAAACATGAGAAACTAAATCACAACTGTAGTGTGGTGAAAGCGCCAAAAATAACCAAACTCATAATAAAGAAAGTGAAGCTAAAGTGACAAACAGTCAAAAATAAAAATGGGGATTGTGATGCTAACAGCAAGCCGATTCTAGAGTCTGTTGGGGCATCTCGGCAAAAATGGATTGGGGGGGGCCCTCCAACCAGCGTTCATAACCCTTATGTCTGCCAGCCAATGCTTACTCCTCTTCCTCTTATTTTCCTGTTTTGTCTCCTGCAGCTATTTTTCTCTGGTGACTTTCATTGACAAACTTTGGTTTTCACAGCCATAATGCATCTGACGCTTAGCAGGGCAACAAGAGTGAATGCTGTCAGATGGGGCCCTCTTAGGGAGGGTTCCGACTGTTTGCACATTTTGGGCCACTGCTTTGCTTTAAGTTTGTGAACCCTCACGGGCCCCCTACTGGTCTGGGGTCCTCAGCAGTTGCCTGCCTTACCTGTTGAAAGGCAGCGTGTCTGGCACCAAGGGGGTGCAAAAAAGAAGAGCATTCTATGTGGCTTAATCCGTCTGAGTTTGTGTGTTTAGGGTCTGACTTAAAGTGTGTGTTCTAGTAAAGATTGTGACACTGCAGCAAGAAGCTGTGAGGATGCTAACACGTTAAGGATTTGTTTGTCAAATGTTTGTCAGGAGCTATAGGTTACATTCTCAAGCATCTAGCATGAGTCATCAAAATGCTACGTTTCACTTTATGTATGTTTGGTATTTAACGCATTTAGAACGCTTGCTTACCTTGCATACTCATGACACTTTAAGATCAATTAATAGTTTTGCAATTTGGTAAATCTGCTTGTATGATGAATGTGACACTCCTGCAGTTAGCTAAATTCAAGGACAGACAGGGGAATCAGGTACATAGGCTATGTCCTAAGCTAACAAAATCCAGCTGCTGACATCTCTGTGTGATGTGCTTCTCAAACTTTTTGCTGGAAAAGCTATCGTAAAGTAGTTTATACATTTTTTGTTTTTCAATTGACACACCAGGATAAATGTCCCAGGGTCGCCACAGGAATGAGGGAGCAGGGAGGAATTATGATAATGAACAGCTTTACACAAGTATACTCACATGATTATTGATGACAAAAACTAATGATGTAAATTCATACATGGGATATATAAATGTATACTGCCTAAACATGAAACAATTTATCTAAAATAAGCTACTTGCATGTGCAAAAGATACCTTCATATGCATACAGATAGAAGAGTTGTGTCCTTTTTTTTGGGCAATAAAATATTAATATGCAGAACTTTTTTAGATATTTTGGTTTGGTGTGTCGTTCATAAAAATTGTTGTTTTTTTCTCATAACCATGCAGAAGGCACTCTACTGATCAAACCCACATGGATCAATTTTATCTTGAATGACTTTTTTATCCAGATGAGTTCTCGCCTGAAATAGTAAACAGGAGCTCTATAATTAAAATTGTGTTTCAGGATCAACCGGTGGCTTTAACGACTGCTTTGTTATAAAATAATATGCGTAACACATAACAACTCATTTTAATTCTCAGTCTGAAGGACTGAGGGCGGCCATATTGTTTGTAGTTCCTTACCCACAGTGACAGCTGCTATGACCGGCGACACAAACACTGACATCATCACCCACTCGCTACAGTCAAGTAGTGCTTACTTCCTGAGATATTGTTTTTCTTGCAGCGACCATGGACCTGGAAGGTAAATGAAACATAAATGAGATCATAGAAATATAATTAGTTCCTTATTGTTGTCTCCTTCTCTGCAGCCATCACTTATCCATGTCCATCAGTGCATGTGTCCCAGCATGCATGAGGGGAAATTAGGAAATGTCCAGGTTATCACAGAGCAGACACATTAGGATGGTTTATATATTTACGTATTAACGTTAGAATTATTTTTTTTCTGTTTTAACAAACAGTTTATTTGAAGTACTATCTCATGGTAACAAATAAAACATCCAAGAGAGCTGTAGAGAGCCAGTTGAGGTCCAGCTTGTTGAATGGCTCACCAGAACACAATCTCAACAGGTTCTTTTAAACATTAAATGTGATTCAGGATTTTGAGGCTGTTTTGTACCTTGCGGCCCATGTAGATTGGTATGCCCACAATGATGACTGGAATGGCGATCCCCGCTATGAGGGAAATGACCACAGGTGCTCCAAGCAACATGCCCACCTGCCACAGAACCTTGCGGGTTTGAGACCATGGCTTCTTCCCCCAGAAAGTACATCCTGAGGGACTGAGACACACAGAAGACACAGCAGAGGGGAAACTCTTATCATGCAAAGCGTTAAGAAAATACATTTTGTTTCTTAAAACCCAGAGCATTTTGAAACCTGTAATCTCCAGACTTTTCCTCTAGTTCACCATGAGGTCGACATTTTTTTTATTTGAGTCTTACATCATAATAACTATCATGTGAGTTGCTGTGTAATTTAATTTTCCAAGATAAAATATCTTAATCTTAAAGCTCCTGTGAGGAACTTTTGGTTTTGTTGATTTTTGTGACCCCTGTGGATAAAGTGGTATCTCTCTTCTTTTTGCTGATTTTGTTCTGTTCATATTTATTGCTTTTTTTTGTTTCGTTTTTTGTTTTGAATCTTTGTTATGGAGAATGAAAAAAAAAAAAGCTTCTTCAGCAGTGTGCTAGAGCAGCTGTTATTTATGGTTGGTGCTAATAAAGAACTGTTAGCATGCTAACAGGTTAGCTGAGAATAAGGGGACCTAGGGCCTGATTTACTAAAGGTTTGCGTGTCTTAAAACGTGTGCAAACTTGATACTATATATATAAATATAGTATATAGTATATAAATATACTATCTGATCTACTAACGGCGCACAGTGAGGATTGCGTCTTTAATATGAGCAAAACAACACGCATTGTCCATTTAGTATATGTTTGGCTCAGTGAATATGCAATATGGGGCGTTTCTGTCCTAGCGTGCAAAATACTGGGAGGACAAAATGCAAAGAAGTTAAGTTAGTACACGCATTGCGATTGACCAAGCCTGACAAAAACTGCAGTGATTATGAAGGTGTCTGAATTTAACACCTTTGAAAGGAACGTGCTTATCCAGGAGCACAGCGTTACGCACAACAGGCTGATGTTATTGTAATGAGGAGGAGACATATGGGGCGCTGATTGTAAAGTTGCGCACACTACAAATAACAACAACATTTCTCCAAATTTAGCCCTAAAACATCACTTTTTATTCACATTTAGAGAAATATTTGTGAACTTTGTCATATTTACTTTTGTGAATAAAAATGTAAGATCATTTCATTGGCAAATATAAATGTTAAATATTATATCTAAATGTTAAATGTTATATATAAATGTTAAGAATACATGTCCTGATTCTAAATATGTAGCTACGTTTCTAAACATTTAGTTTACATTCTAAATATTTAGCTTTGATCCTATTTATTTAGCTAAGATTGTAAATATTTATAATCAAAGCTAAATATATAGAATATAAACTAAATATTTAGCAACGACTTCTAAATATTTAGCAACGATTTCTAAATATTTAGCTACGATTTCTAAATATTTAGCTTTGATTTCTAAATATTTAGCTTTGATTTCTAAATATTGAGCTTTGATTTCTAAATATTTAGCTAATATGCAAATTCACTCTACCGCCCACCAGAAGCACCAAAATAAAAGTTTAAGGAAGCGATCCAACCATTGATCCTGTGGCCGACACCGAAGAAATAGTGCTTTGAAAACCCTGAATTGGTGCCAAAACGGCCCTTCCAATATTCTCTGCTAATTCGTTCGACATTTTCAAAATCCCACCAGTCTCCTGTAGGAGTCCCTCAGAGCCAGGAGCATGACTGTTGGTTTTATTTTAACCCTAATAGTGCAGATCATTCTTACTCATATGACAAGTAGACTCAATCATGATCATCCTCTTATTTGTTAGGTCCTCATGTTACAATGTTCCTGTATGCTAATATTGTTGTGTTCAGAATTCACGAGAAAATAAGAAGATTGAGGGGTGTAGGTTTAAAAAGCATAACTGAAGTACAACATTCAAATGTTTGACCAAAGGGGAAATGCATCAAAAAGAAACATACACATAAACCTTTAGTAGCTCCTGAATATTTAAAATAAAGCACACGTTGACATGGGGAACATAAATAACACAACAACAACAACAACACTATTATCTGTCTGTCTGATGGCTGTCATTACACCATTAGCTAAAACTGATGACCTCATCTGCCTTGTCTCTTCTACTCGTATTACTGTCGTTTGCATCTACCAATCAAATCTTACAAACTGCTGTTAGATAAATTTATGTCGGTATATGTGAAGTCAATCACTTACTGCAACGTTTGATGCAATAAGTGTCGCATTCAAGTTCTTCTTTAAGCTAGTATTGGACTTTGCATTGTAATTGTACTGCCAACTAACGCAGTACAACACTGACTGATGCTGTTTGGTCCTAATGAAGCAGCAATTACATTCTAGGAGCAGCAGCAGTGACAGTAAACAACACAAATAGCACCTTAGGTCTATAAGTTTTCAAAGCATGCATTTATTTTACCGCAGCAAATGTCACCTTGAGGTTGTGAAAGCCTTGAGTGTGGGGACTTATATGGAGATATTAAGGTTGCGCTCTGTTGCTCTGACATGGCAGATTTGCAGTCAGATGCTAAAAGCTTTGCCCTTCTATAGGACACTCGGTGTAATATTTAGTGTGAAAGACACACAGGGATTAATGGGGGGAAACATTGCAGAGGCAGGGGGATATAGGAGGAGAGGGGGTGTGAAAAGACATTAAAGGATGAGTAAACATTTATATCCACACTTTCAGTAGTTATACTTTCCTCCTCAAAAAGAGGAGGGGTTAAACTTTTACTTTAAATGTAACAGACCGGCCTGCAGCTAGTCTTATAGCTTGAGTTACACATTCTCAACATTCAACACAGACACAAATTCTATACTGATGACAAGTCAGCATTGACTCCCTTCCAGGACTGTAAAAATCAATGAAAGCAGCTTGTAATCAATGATGTAATGCCCGAGTCTTCCTGACTGACCCATTTTTAAAAAAAAATCTGAATACAGTTTTAGAAAATACATATATTAATTATTAGTACGTATGAAAGTGCCTTCATGATGAGGCAAGTATATTCTTTGATTTCTTTTTCCAGCGGAAGAACTAAAGAAAATGTTCAGTGGTTTACATTTCACACTTGTGCCACCAGGCACTTTCTGTGCTAATAGTGGGATCAAATTGTGCTTCTCTTTCTCTTGTTTTTACGTGCAGCACTTTCTCTGTAGACAATGCTACCTAGATATATTATTACAGGAATCCAATTATTGATTTTTAATTTTTGTACATTATAATTACACTTCCTAATATTTAGCCACAAAAGCCATTGTTATTCACAATCACACACAATAATCAAACAGCGTTGTAGGCACTGGCAATTCTATTGCAGAGCACCAAATGTAAACAAACAGCATTGAGCCATTTGTGTCAGGTGAGCTGAGTGTGGGCTGAGTACCTGAGGTAGTGCACGTCGGTGATCTCCTGCATACACAGCCAGCAGAACTGACAGGCACACACAGTGCAGTTCATACGGTTACAGCTGCCATCATTAGTCTTCATGATGTAGGCACCACAGCGAGGGCATGCTTTGATCTCCTCTGCATCTTCGGCAACAGAGTAAATATGTAAGCAGTGGCGACACGTTTTGCAATATTTATGTTGCACTTTCTTTTATGTGATAAGAAATCCAGGAAAAAAAGAGAGGAAAAAAAAAGTTTTTTTCGGTTTTGAAATAAAGACAAGAAGGCGGTAACAACAGCTGCTTCTGGTCTCACCTCCTCCAGGTTCTTCATTGAAGACGTACAGCGTGGAGGCGTCGTTGCTTCCCGAGGTGTGGCGAGCTCGCTGACGACGGGCCTGGTCACACGTCTGGTTCGGGTGCCACAGCTGCCGACAGTGGTAGCAGAACTCGGTGTCACATCCCTCACGGCCACAGCTCAGCTTGGGACACTCTGCACAGCCGTAGGCAATCACTGCATAGCTGAAAAGAGAGAGAGAAAATGCAGATGAAAATGAAGTTAATTGATCCCTACGGGGAATTCACTGCTGTTAGTGTGTACTGCAATATCTTAAACATGCTGCAGTAAGTTCTGATATTGCATGATCGCCCTGTAATTGCATCTGTTCAGCCTGGTGAAGCACACAGAATTGTTCATTGATGTCTTTGTTCATAAACATTTGTTTGCATTGTGCCTCAAAGAATCATGTACGACCATCAGTGGGATGAGTTTCCTGAGTTCAACACCTGATTGAAATAATCCCATGCTTTGATCTTGAACAGTCATTGTGATGATAATGTGGAACCTGACGCCCATGGACCTAATCTTCACTCCTCAGAGGTGACATTAACATAAATTTTAATATTTAAAAGATCATGTGATTCTGATCAAATACAAAGTGAAAGTGACTGAGTGATTCCGGGGGCCTTAGGGATTAAGGCAGTGCTGCTCTACTGTGAAGTGCTTGAAAAGCTCCTTCAGGCTTTTCCATTCAGCATCTCCAGCCTTGTGTGGTTATCAGATTTATCTGAAAGGTAAAAGAATCAGACAGACTTGAAGGCAACACACAAGAAGATAATTAGGCTGCTGCCTGGTTCCCACTCAAGTGTCAGTCTAGATTTGAGATGGTGTCTGATTCTGTGTTTGACACTGAACTGGACTAGCTCTAAAAACATTCCCAGGTACCTACCTTTATCAAAAACCTGCAATTACTGGACAGTTTTGCTTTAAAGCCCTGCCACAGTATGGATTACTAGTTATGACATTACAAAAAAACATACAGTACCAGAGAGGACAACTTTGGAAGGTTCAAAATGAATGTGTGATGCCACCAGACATTTAATTAGCGCCACCATAATACACCAATTGATACTTCTGTTTTAGTAAGTAATTTCATAACTTGTGTTCAAGAATGAACATGCATGGAAAACGTGGAACAGTTTTACTCATTCCATTGATTTAGTTGGTGGCATTGGCGTGCCAAGAAACACAGGATTACGACAGAAACACTAGGACAGAAGAAGACTTTTAGCAGATGTTAACTAGGCCTGAAAATATTTCTGATCAGCAATGCAATTTTTCAATGAGGAAAATGCATTTAATGCATGTATTAGGACTACAGAATTCACACATGGCACTCTGAGGGGAGAAACTGAATGCAAACCTTTTTTTTTTTTTAATACAAATAATCTCTGCAAAGTACATTTAATCAATTTTTAAGACAATTTTAGGGGACAAAAGTTCAGATAAGTTGGTATGAGTAACATACTGTATATTTAAACAATTTAAATTAAAATCTCTCTTATCACAAAACTCTGCAACTAACCCTAGGTTATTGAACATTGTAGGTATAGCCTACACATTATACCCAGAAAATCAAACCAAAAACACTTCATTCCAGAGAATAAGAATCCCCTCAATTTCATCAAACTATAAAAATGATGAATATTACAGTAATTCAAAATCAAAACAGATTTAAGGAATCCCATGTGTAATCCATGCAGTGCGGATTCTGTTTGTGTGCAGTTTGTTTTGAAACCATCTACAGTAGAATCAGTAGCAAAAACAAAACATGACCAAATGTGCACACGTAGATACAAGTGTGTGGACACACAAAGCACACTTTCTCAGAGCCGACATAATCTCCCACTAAGCTTCTGTCACTAAGACCTCAAGGAATGTGTGTATGTTGGGAACATAATAATACACAAACCATAACTGAGAATGACCAGTTTACATAATGGGTCAACTCTTCTAAGGCTCTTTTATGTGGGAACCATTACAATTCAGAACACCCTGACCTCTACTTGTAAAAATTTTTTATAGGTTACACTATAAAATTCTGCAGATTTTTTTTCAAATAGGCTACGTTTGAAATGTGAGCTCTAGTTTCCCTGTTATATTTAATTCACCACAGCAGCAGACAGATTGGCGTATTGATTTTTCTCCACTCGTTCATCATGGCCAGACTGTGAGCACTGACAGTCAGGGAGACAGACTGTCTACCAGTCCTTGTGCATGTGTGTTTTTGACCACAGATATTCACCCAGTACCCAGAACAACATGTGCACACAGCCACACACTTTATGATTTCCCATCAGCAGCCCTATCCTATTACTTATCCATAAATTGTTAAGCCAAGGATCATTGTCTGTACATGTTGCAAACAGCAGCAGAAACACGAGAGTTAACTCAGAACATGTTCTGTTGTGGTGTTTCATTGTGGTCTACCGATGCCGCTAACTTACATTCACTGTATTCTATCAGAAGCTGTATTCTCTCTGAAATACTCAGGGGTACAGCTCAAATGCTTTCATTATGTTGTACTGCTGTTTTTCACAGCTTAAACTTCTATGTCATTGTTGCCTGTTGATGCATAACTGAAAATATTATTTCAAATTCAGAGACATATGGCCATATACTATTTACTTCCACTTCCTCATAGCTAATATTACCATTAACATGATAGAAAAGGTGCACCTTAGAGCTAGCCTAATGGTAATGTTAGCTTATCGACAGTAATTTTAGCTAGGAGCTAGTTAAATAGTATAGTTGTTTGGACCTTGATGTTGGTTTTGAGTTATCAAAACAACATATTTAATTCATTAGGACAGCTAAATCACAACAGCTAACATGGCCATAGATCCAGTTCCTGGCTAACATCTCTAGCTGAAAAATCACTAGCTTGGAATCCTTGCTATTTTAGTGATTAAAATGTAATGCTAGTAAGTATTTGGAAACACTCAAATTATTATTCAATGGACTTGTTCTCTCAGGCAGAATCCAAATAAAGTACTGGAGCACACAAATTACTTAATTTATTTTGGTGCAAAGGACTAATGTTTCAACGCACTGCGTCTTCTCCTTTTCTTTTTGAAAACAGTCATCTAACAGTAGCTAAAACCAGTTTCTAGCCAACATAACGTAGGAACTGTTTTTTTCCATAGCTGGTTATCACATGTTCTTTTTTCAACTATTCATTGTTTGCAGTTACTCAATCTACAAGTAGTGAAACATTAATACTTTGTCAGGTTTTATGTGTACAATTTGTAACCTAAAACGCTGTAAACATTATAACTATTAACAGCAACCACAAGGAAAATATCTGCTGTATGAATATAGGGAATTGTTGATATTACTTTTAGGATGATGATGATTCTTCACACCAACCAGAACGATTGTGCAATGAAACCTGAAATACTAAATATAATCCTAAGTATATCAGGCACACCAAATGGCAAACTGATTAAAGGTGATTCTTCCTTAAAATGCCAATGCAGAAAGCTTGGTGTATAATTCACACCCATATTAGCCTTACAAGAAAGAGGCTTTCTTTATTATTCACATAAGTCTGTTCTCTTCAGGATCTGAAAAATATTTTGGTCGCAACAAAATGTTACAATGATTACAGCGTTGAGATTTATGCAGACTCAAAAGGAGCTTTCACTCGCTGACAGTTCATCCTTTAGAAAGCTCTGTCAGTCATTCTGACAGGGGAAAACTGCACTAGTTTTGTCTTCTACAACGTGAAGCAGGTCGTGGGTTTGACAGGAGCTGCCATATTGTAACACAGAAGTACTGTAGGGTTCTTTTCTTGTCTTTTCAGGGGCTACAGAACAGTTAATTATTACTTTGTGACTTGAGATATTCATTTTTTTTTTTTTAAACATGACAATCTAGAGATGCTGTTATTTGCATGTTTTCTGCCTTTCCTCTCCTTTAATCCATGATTTTCTACTCAATTGTCATAATAAGCTTTTTGCAAAAAGGTAGGTAGGAAACATTATTTGAAATAAGGCTGATTCTCACCTGCAGTCAGGAGCTGGACACCAGCGAGTATCTGGATCAGCAGCCAGGAAACGTCTCAGCTGGTACTCCTCAAACCGCTCAAGCAGTGCCTGATCATCCAGGATGGCACGAACATCCAGTGGCGCGAGCGTCTCAGGGCACTGCGGGCACGCAATGCACACCCTGCTCTCTGATATTTCTATGCGCAGGTACTGGCGGAGACAGTCGGAGCATGTTCGGTGAGAGCAGGAAGAGAGACGTGGAAAGTGGCAGCGTGGTTGGCTGAGCAGGCACAGAGGGCACTCTTCCAGGTGTTCATCCAGGAGCTGCTCTTGGGAGGAGGAGGAGAGTGACAGGACGCCAGTGGAGCCACTGCCGGCCCCACCCACGCACTCAGCTGTAGTAGCACCATCCTCGGCGGCTTCAGCTGCTGTTGCTGCTGATTGACCTCCTCCTTCTCCTCTTTCTCCTCCAGAAGCTCCTGATTCTCCAGCCTCCTCTGCCGTGAGTTCGAGTTTCTGTGAACAATCACAACGATCCAAACATGCATTAGAAATGTCCTGATACATTTGAAAAAGTGAACTTTGTGAAAAGAGCAATGCTCTCTCAAATGGAGCGTCGTAACTGAAAATCACTCAGTGAAGGGGAGTGTGTATGTTGCTAGATACTTCTTCTATTTGGTGTAACTTGGTTTCTTGGCAACATTATTTCCCTAATTTACCAATTAATTAAATAAACACTTTAATGGATTTGGGCTATAACAATATGTGAGTTGGAGGAAGCATGCAGACGCTAATACATCAGGAGTTAATCATCTACAGCCTCTCCTCAGGTTTCTACTTTCTTACGCAACAATTGTTTGGACATCTAGTTCTTTGCAACAGAACAGAGAAACTAATATGTTTCAGTCTTAACAGTAATCTGAATAATCATTTATAACTGAACAACAAACAAATCTAGTTTTCATTTTCTGACTTTATATATTGAAGGATGAAAACTAGCAATATTTTTACTGTGTCCTACATTTTCAAAGGAGGATCAGTAGATGATTGGGCAAAAAACGTTTAAATTCATCCGTAAACAATCCTTAAATCTAATTTGAGAACATTTAAAGAAGCTATATACAACACATTACACACAAAATGTGTATGACCAGTTTAAAAATATTTTGCAATTAATATAATTTAAGCCACCACTGACAACAATTTTTGTAAACTTAAAAAGTGCTGCAGATTTACTACAGACACTTCACCACATCTGTCAATATAAATTAATTTAAGTTTTCATTTTAATAGATAGAGGATTTTAAACAGTTGAAAAGTATACTAAACTGAAAAAACTGAATGTCACTGTGTTTACTTAAGCCATGATTACGCCAAAAACACCAAACAGTGCTGTTAACAGTCTCTCTCGAACTGGAAATAAAAAAACAAAGGTAAACATTTCATTAAAACTACTAAATTGATCCTATTTGATTCGATGTGAAAAAAAAAAAACAAGGAGAAAAAATACAACATGGATTTTCTCCCTAACTCCCACTTCTCAGTCAACAAAAACAGTGTTCCAGAGTATCCCTCAGTTTTACCTGCTCGGGGTGCTCGCTCGGTGTCAGGGTGATGGCCACCTCCTCTCTGGGCCGGGCCTCCACAGACTTCTCGGGCATCGCCTCTGATTTGGGCTTTCTGCTGAAGAAGCTGAGGAAGCTGAGTGGCCCTGTCTGCTGCTTGGGCCTCTTCATGGTGTTGGAGTGGAGAGAGAGCAGCAGCTGAGGAGGGCAGGCCAACGACCATGAGCAGGATGCAAAAGTGTGTGTTTAAGTTTGTGTGTGTGTGTGTGTGTGTGTGTGTGTGTGTGTGTGTGCGTGTGTGTGCAGTGTGTATGTGTGGGTGGGTGAATGCAGCGAGCTCTCACGGCTCAGAGTCTTCAATCTGGGCGGCTGCTCTGCTGAATGTGGGAGAAAGAGCGGGAGAGATGGAGGGGTAGACAGCAGGGAGGAGGAGGTAATCCCTGCCTGAGGGGGGCATCGCTGATATGGAGCCTGTCCGAGGCTGGGTCATGTAACAAACACGCTCTCTCTCTCTCTCTCTCTCTCTCTCTCTCTCCTCTGCCTTCTGTCCCTCCTCCTCTTCCTCTTCCTCCTCCACCTCCACTGCAGTTCCCTCGGTACGAGCTAGTCCTTGACTGGCCGACAGTGCTTCATCTTTTTAGGTCTTTTCTTCAGTCCTTTACCCTGGAAACAAACATCACAATCATGACTAAATAACCGTGAAACAGACATGATAGGATGTGGATTTGGCCGAATATTTTCTTCTACAGAAGTCTACTCTTGAAAAGTGGAGCTGCTAAATCCATCACAGGCTTTGGCGATGATAAAAAAAAGATCTTATATCAATCTGTAATGACATAGAGCTTTACAATTGCAAAGTCAAAAGAATAAAACAAATACTGCATTCATGAATACTATGATTTGACTTTATGTTCAAAATGAGTATTTTTTTAATGATTAAAAATGTTTAAAAAACTCTATATCAAATCAAATATGTGAGACGTTTGAAAATGGATATTAATTATTTTCTAATTTGGTGGCCCTTTCCTCTTCAATGATTTTCTTCTTCAGCACAAATTTAAAGAAAGCAAAAGAAAGGAAATTCCTTCTAATAGACAAATGCACCCTGTGACAAAGTGCTGCAAGAAGCAAGCGGATAATTCTCTGTTTTAAAGGTTAAAATATTATCCTGCCCTTCATGGATGCCATAAACATTATGGACGGACTTTATTTAAACCGAAGCAACAATATAATAAATTAAATCAAAAAACAAAAACTGCTTCAGCCACGGCTTGCTCAATACATATTCTATTCTCTTCATATTTCCTCTCTTCTGGACGTTTATGATGTAAGATAACCTCTCTGTAAACCTCTCATACATGAATATAAATGTGTTATATATTAACCTTTTCTTTGATGGAGTTGCATTACACAGAACAACAGAGGTAAACGGACACATAGCTGGCTCAATCAGATCTGTTTCTGTGGTTGTTTCACTTCATCATCATTAGCAACTTATTCATATTTAATTAGTGCAGAACAACTGCACATAAATACAAGATATATTATGTATGAAACCATGTGCTCAGTCCCTCACATTAACTGGAAACTTGAGCAGACACAAAACCAGAATGTTCAAAACCTGACCTTTTAAAAAGTGTTACAAAAAAGAGACATTCAAAAAATAAGCTTTGCCATTTTCCCTCATTAATCCCTTTTTTATATATCCCTGGAGATCCATTTATATGGAGTAAACCTTAAGAGTCCCTGCGACCCGGCCGCAGACATGAGCAGTAAGGTCAGAGCTGTTAGACACAGCGAGCCAGCAGACGGGTGAAGGGAGTTGTGATGTTTGAGGGAGACGGAGGGTGAGGAAGAGGAGAGGCAGTTGAATGACGGCACAGATGACTCATTCTGTCTCGATTAGTTCTCAGTGAGCTTTCATAATCAGACCCAGAGAGCAAAGAGAGCAAAGAGGTGATTCATGTAGGCCTAGACCAGTGCTTCTCAAACTATGGTACGCGTACCACCGGTGGTACGTGGGCGCCCTGTGGTGGTACGCAAACAAATCTCCACAATATAGAAAAGAAACCTGTTCAGCATAAAACAACAATTTGTTTTGTATTTATATCAAATGTGTTTTCCCCTCTAAAGTAATCTAGTTTTTGCAACAAACAACTTTAATCTGCTCAATTTATGCTCGCGCACAGACATAAACAACAACAGGAGTACGCCTCGTGTTTTGAAAAGTTCCACTCGATATTCCGTTATCGTTCAGTACTGAAACAACAGCAAACAGCTGTAGGCCTACAATAACAGATATTCTGTTAATGTAGGCCTACATTAACAGATGTTCTGTTAATGTAGGCCTACATTAACAGATATATTATATTCTGTTAATGTAGGCCCAGAGGCGCTCTCTCTCTCTCTCCCCCGCTACCTCTCGCTCTCTCAGGCACGCACCAATTTTATGAATAAATGACAAATTAAATGAGAACAGGTTGGAAATATACTTGGGCCCAGGTATCGTCTTTGTGTGGGAAACACTGGAGACTAAATATTTCCAAACAGGTTGTTGGTATAAAGTTGTCATTTTTACTGTTCTGCACTTTTGTGTGTGCAAGTTCTAGCGCTGGCCCTTAGTAGTCCTACAGTGTGGCTGCCAACAGTCAACAATAAATAATATTCTTTTTATGAATTAATTTGCCTCTTGCATGAAATGTGTGTTGAAATAGGCCTACGGTGTATTTTAACATCTACCATAATGGTGGTACTTGAAGAGCCAAATATTTTCGGAGGTGGTACGCAGTCTAAAAAGTTTGAGAACCACTGGCCTAGACCAATTAAAATAGCTGTCTCCATATCGCCACTACTTCAGATCAGACCATGGAAACCACACCAGATACACTATCATGATGGATAGCCTTTGTAAAGATGGAAAAAAAAAACTTTATCATATCCCATTTTTCCCCGCAATTGGCAGAGGCAGGTAATGGTTTCAGTAACTATGAGCTCCATCTTTCTTTTACCAGAGTTGCACAAAGCGTCTGGACACATGCAACACTGCAGAGCCTAACCTGCCTTCTTGCACAGAGACGAGGAGTTGGAGTCGTATTTATACTCCAGTCCTCTGGATGTACAAATTGACATGAATAGCATGCTGTTCTTGCAGTAGCACATCATTATATATGCTAATTTGAGAGTATAGAAAATACATCTTTTGCCCTTTGGCAGCATAACCTGATAATTAGTGTAGATATTCTGGATGCAAGTTCTTTTTTTTTTTTCCAATTGTTGCGCTGCTGGAAGTACTGTAACTGTGTGTTCAGCTGAAAAAACAGTGAGTCCAGCACATAAGAACATATCAAAACTACTGAAACTAGGGCGTGTTTGGTGTACAGTTTCTCCTATTGTGTTTAATGCAACAATTATCTGTTCAACATAGCTTCCATTTGTCATTTGTCAACAAATAACTCTTAAATGTATCCACTGAAAAATATATCAGTGAAACATTACAAAAAGTACATCTTCAACAGAAAGTTATACTCATCATTTATTCATCTTTAATTGTTATATGTATATTCATTTAAGTTCTTGCTTTATTTTTTGCACCAAAACACCAAGACAGATTCTTTGTATGTGTAAATGTACTTGGCAATAAAAACCGATTCTGATTCTGAAATCATTGTTTTGGTTCACAAAAAGGGAGAGAATAAAATAAACTGGATGATGTCTTTGAAATAATCTTTTGTTTTCTCAGTCCAAAATCCTGAAAATAGCAGTTCCTACTTTTGAGATTCAGCGATTATTAAACCAGCTGTTGATTATTTTTTAGTTTATCGACTTATCAGTCAGTCAATTGTTGCAGCTACATTTCTCACAATGAACAAGATGAAGGAACAGATTTATAGAGTATAGAGTTTTGCCAACACAAATGTATTAACGAGTCTCAAAGGGTGAGATTACACATCTTCATCTTTGGATGCAAACAAGGAACAAAATGGAATGGCATTTGATTTGAAGAGCCCATACCCAGACGGTTGATGCTGGCATTGCTTCTAAGAAAATGCTGGAGACAAAATGCAGAACACAGAAACAAACTTGCAGCTCCAGTTTCAAGTTCCCTTTAAGGTCAAACAGTTGAGTTACATTTGGAAACAGCTGTGAATCCAGCTGTTTCTGGTCTTTTCGATCTATGATCATAAAATCTTGATTTGGTATTAGTCCAGTTCAAAATGAGCTTTCAGACTTTTACATTGTCTTTCCTATTAAGGGAAGCCGTTGTTTGCAGACGCAGCAGTGGAGCAGTATGTGTTGAGTAAGTCACCCTCTGTAAAAATGGAAAAACTGAATTCCCAGCAACAATACATGTTTTTTAGTTTTTTAGTTTTTTATCAAGGGTATCTTTTTTCTGCATCCAATCCCCATAATCTGTTTCTGCAACAATCATATCCCACTGGGACTGACTTACTTAGCCAAAGCACAGGATCCAAAGCAGCAACCTCTGTGATGAACACATCACTGTGCTGCTGTTTATTTATAGAAATTATTCCCACACATGAAGACATCAAACGCACATATAACACATTCAAAAGAGCTGAGCTTGCATGCAGCATATATATATATATATATATGTACCATCTCTACACATTCAAGTAGACACGCTCAAACACAGACACGCACACAGATGCATGTACAGGCAAACACTCTCAGGACTGAGTGGTTTTTTATGTGTTTTTGATGGCTCAGTAGACTTTAAGGCTCGTCACTGCACACTAAAAACGCAGATAGTCAAGTTATTAAAAGCGTTGATCTGCACATACCTTGTTGATTTTTTAACACAGTAAAGTAAAGATGAAAGATAAGCGGGCAGAAAGACCCAACCCAGTTTGAGAAAGTGTGCAGAGATAAGGCAAGTGCTGCATGGTTATAGAACTTTTAGTGTAGCTTTCTTTTTTCTCTCTTCTTTTGTCTAAACCTTGTTTTTCATAATAGATCATTTTCACCACATGAATCCTGTGCAGAACATCTTTTGCATTTTTATAGATCATCGTCTCGAATCAGATCATCAATCAATCAAAAAGCGCTGACATCCAAACACACATTTTAGATATGTGGATGAACAGACAGGAATAACAGAAAACAGTCTTGGTAATGATATGCTGTTCGTTTGACCTTTGGATTTGCAGAAATGTAATTGAGGTTTAAGTAGGCTGACTCAAATTGAGTCAAAGCGAAAACCTAGACAAATAACAAGCGGTCTGGGAACATCAAGAGTCTTCAGCTAGCATTTTTAAATCTAAATGTCCCAGCACAATGTCTTCAATCAGAAAAATGTGATGGTCTTGTTTGATTGTTCGCTGTAGAAACCAAATAAAGTGCGAACACATGTGAACTCGTAGAAAAATGTTTTGGAAGTGGCGGTGGAGCAGATAAAAGCTTGTTCTCATGTAATAGTTTAAAGACTTAAAGAAGTGTTGGGCACCCTCACAAGACACGAGGGACAACACAGCTTACATCACAAGGCCCGGACACAGATGTTGCTGGGAAAGAGAGGGAGCATATTCAGTTTACAGCTTAATGCGTTTCTTCTCTTGAATGTGTGTGTGTGTGTGTGTGTGTGTGTGTGTGTGTGTGTGTGTGTGTGTGTGTGTGTGCGTGTCTGTGAGTGTACACAGTATGCTGTAAAATTCCCCCTGAGGCCAAAGACACTCTTGAAGACTTGACCTCTCCTCTTTCCACTGGATCCCTTGCTTTGATGTTTCATACTTGACTCCCTCACGCAGACTGAACAGTTCACTAACACAGACTTGTACACAAATTACAAATTCTTAAAGCGCCACTGGGGATTACGGGGAATAAATGTACAAATACAAAATCTGGCCTAGAACTTGTTTTCCGTGTGCTAGAGTACAAAGAGCTCAAACACTTATTCTTCTCTTTTTCAAGAAGATGCTTTGGTCAAGTCATGTGTCACACTAGATCAGCTTTTAATGTGCATAAATGTAGAATGAATAATAACCTGCTGCTGCTGCTACATGCTTGAGAAACACCTATAGTACTTCTGAGAGTTAAGTTGCGCCACTGCAGAAGGGAAAAAAAATCAATACTGTTGAAGTGAGTCTCATGGGAGGCAAATAACCCACTTTAGTCCTGAAAGAGAAATCCTCCGAAGAGTAACTCTTACTGCAGTGTTTCCAGTTAAGGGGGGGGGGGGGGGGGGGGTCATTTATAACAGATTTATGCATTATACAATAAAGTAATCCAGACCATCCTTTCTTAAATTGCCCAATGAATTTAAAACAATAGAAAATTTAACAGTCTTTTTTTTCCACTAAGGCAATCCTTCCACATTTTCAGACTCTGTTTCAGTCTGCACTGCAGGAAGTGGATGTTCCCTGTCTTTCTATGGGGGACTTGAACAAGATGGCTGCTTGACCTTGTGACCTTACGAGTGAAAGACACCATGTCGCTACATCAGCTTGACAAAAAGAAAAACAGCGCTTCTGCCTCGCACACCTCAGTCTCAATTTACGGCAGCGCGCCCTCATTTCTAATTCATTTCTAACAGGCAGAAGGAAAGTGATCCTTTGGCCAGCAGCATCACCGCAGATCATTACATAATGCACTAAGCCTTTGGCTGGAGTCGTGTTTTCTTACCTACTAACATGATTCAGCAGGCTAATTCACATCTATTTCAATCAAACAACAAATACATCACATATTTAAACACATACATAGAATAACATTCAGGTAAAAAAAAGTCCAGGTGTGTTTGAGGTTAAAAGGAGAATTACAGCAGTTTTTCCCATGACATAAGCCTAATGATGTCACAGGGGTTATCTAAGTTCAACATGAGTAGATGAGTCAATTGTCTCCTGAGCACAGACATGTAAAAGAACACCGAGCCCTCAGTCCTGCTACATTACAGAGACTTAGAGATGATTTATTTGTAGGCATGTTTCCAAACATGCATGTTTCCAAAGTCCATTTGAGGTTGTTTCTTTTTTTTCTGCATCTCTTCACAGATGTTTTGCATCTCTTCGTATGTAACTTTGTTTCGCCTTCAGTATCTTGTTTTCATTCTGTGTATTTTCTCAGCCATTTATAGTAATCTTGTTGTCTACATCTCTCTGGAGTCAAACTATCTGTCTCTTTGTAGCTGTTTGCATCTCTTTGTATTCGTGTGTATCCATGAAGCTGTGTGTGTCATTCTGTTGTCTTTTATGTCTCTGCGTTATGTCTTTAACCCTAATTGTCAATCTGAGTCTACTTGTTTCTCTCTTTGACATTTTATCTGTCTTTTATTAGTCCCAGTTGTTTCTTTGTTGTCAACCTGGACATCTCTGTAGTTGTTGTGCCTCTTTGTTGTTGTTTTGTGTCTCTTTGTGGTTGTTGTTTTTCCATGTATTTCTGACAGGCAATAGACAGGCAATTAGTCCGAATCTTTGAGCTTAAGTTTAGGTCTAAGGGACTCTGATCAATTTGATCCCTGGGCCTGTGTCAGGTATCCATCCCTTTATTTTAGGCGTTGTGGCAAAAAAACAAAAAAGTCTCCAAATTGCGAGATAAGCCACATGTGTGTTAAAAATGTACGTCAAAGGTTTGGGAGACATGGACATTTCCCAGTATAAAAGGTCAAATAAACTGAGGCTATACTGTAGGTTTTAAATGTAGTATTTAGTGGTTTTAAGGCTTGACCCACACTTGTGAAATGTGATTATCTTTGCCTCTAAAGGTTAACAATTACTTTTCTACTTTCCTACTTTGACCACGATCTTTTTTGGGTCCCAAATAGCTTTTAACACTTTCAGTGGATGAATGAGGGTCCTGTTACTTTTACATTTAACCGACACAGATGGTTGGCTTTGTATCAACACAACATTATATTAAATCCAAAATCATTTGAAACTAAAGGCAGCGCTGAAGGTTTCTTTTTTTTCTCAGCACATTCCTCTTCTGCATTCATTCATCAAATCTGGACAAAATGTTCAGCAAGTAATCCAATGCATGCAGAATATTTTTTGATTACATTGTTTCGTGCGAGATGTCAGACATCATTGTCAATAGGTTTGACCAAATCATGTGACATCAGATCTGCCTCTTGCTGAGTGATGACAGATAAAATGACAATGACAGATGGGTTTATTACACAACCAGCAGCATCTGCCTAAATCATTTCCCCTCATTTTGAAAAAACAAAACAAAACAAAAAAACAAACAGAAAAGAAATAGGACACCTTTTCCCTGAATTTTGTCCTCAGCATGAACCATAATACCATTTCATCACTTCACTTTTGGGTGTTTGAGGACACTTGCTAGGAAGCTGTTGCTATGCACTCAGTGAACAGAGAAGGAGGTCAGTTTTCTAGTCTGATGAGCTGAGTTGTGCCTTTAGCGGAGGGAAACCTGATGATACACCATATTAAATATCTGTTCATTGGACACAAGCCCACATCAGCAATGCGGGTTTCAGAGGCATATGAGTGACCTCAGCACAGACACACACACACACACACACACACACACACGCACACACACACACACACACACACACACACACACCTGTACTCCGCGGCATCCTTCACCAAATGATTCTTCTGTACCATGTGGCGCTTAACAATCTCTTATTGACCTCTTATTTATGTTATTGAATAACCACAATAAGAATGATACAGTTTAACATGACGTGTTATCATTGCAACTAGTATCCTCTTGGACTGTTATGACCGTGTTGCATGTATTCTGAGTGACGTAAAGATCAAATAAAAGGCGTGTTATTTAACCGAATATTCGATTAGGGCAGGCCTGCAGGTTACATATAGGGGATGCACTTGTAAATGTAAGGTGCTATAAAAACGCGCTCATGATATGCAGCCTTGCAAAACCTCCCCATTAAAAAAAAAAAAGATATATTTTCACTTCTTTTAAAAAAAATAAAAAAATAAAGACAGGTCTGTCTAGGACATCAGTATGCTATTACAGGGAGTGGCATGTTAAATAGACTACGTATTCGTATTCAACTCCACCTCGTTATATCCATCAGAGACATGAGTAACAGCGAGACATTAGCGGTCAACATGCGGCTTTGAAAGTCTGCAGATAAAACACAATAATTTCTATTACGTAAACGGTATCTTACCTCTGTGTGCGGCGCCTCTCTCTTTTGCAGCGTAGAAATCAACAACTGACTCCTCCCCTCGCACCAAACAGGAGCGGAGAAATCTCCTCCTCCTTACTGCCGCACAGACAACACGCTGTATGTCGCCGCCAACGCTGCATAGAGGATGGGAATCCAGCGGTCCATGCAGATGTGGTTTGGTGCAGGGGGGGGGGGGGGGGTAGACCCGGGCTGAGGCAGAGGAGAGTCGCGTTGAGGAGGAGAGCCGTCCTCAGGTTCACAGCTGACTGACGGCTGAGCTGTGCGGCGGCCTGAGGGGAGGCACACTGCAGTGACACGAACCAATGAGATGACGCAGAGACCCAGGATCTCCTATTCATAAATGCCCCAGTCCCATACAAAAAAAAAGAAAAGAAACAGGGGCTTTCACATGTATTCAGTGCCAAATGTACACACATGCCCTCTCTTTTTAAGAAGTTGTTTCACACTCCTTATATTAATTTTTTTTTTTTTTAAGTTTTGACAGGTAATATGATTTTGTTTTTAAACTCAGGGGTCTCCTAAAGTTCTTTAAGACGTCCTTGAATCTGTGATTACATGTTTTTGGACATTAGTTGATGATTTTTGTGTTAAAAATGTAAATTAAAAAAATGTTGGGTGTTTTAAGTTAGAAATTGCTGCCCCTGTATGTTTGCACTTTTACATGTCAAAGCAAAAAAAAATATCAGTGAAGAAGTTATTCTGTTTCGTTTGAGGAAGATAGATTCAAAAAGTGTGGGCTACATGACTATGCACAGTATTTTATTTTCTTTCTTTTTTTTTTTTTTTTTTTAAAAAAGGACCACAATCTATTTTTTTAATATATTTTGTGTATGGGAAGGTAAAGTTGTGGAAGTTAAAAGGGCTGAACTCATTAAGCGCTCTTTGAGCAGGGCAGCAGGGGACGATCAGTGCCTGGCATCAAAGGCCATTTGATATATACTCAACGAAATAGACTACAAATTATTGAAAGAATTTGAAAACATAGCAAAGCATGACTTTAAAAATGTAGAAATTTGAAAAAAAGTACATGAATTCTCAAACTACTGAATTTCACAGCAGTGGCTCTTTTGGAGGGAAAATGTAGCACCAGAAAAGTTGTAATACATTTGTATAGCAGCCAGGAGCTAAAGTGTAATACTGTAATGTTACGTTATTGTCATTAAAGATTTGAAAAGAGGAATGCTTTGTTTAATACCAGCGGGATGAACTACATTACAGACCACTTTTAACAGAGAGGCATGGCCTATAGCAGAGCTCTGACATCTCTGGAAATTGGTTGGACAGAATTGCTTTAGAAATGATGTCCAGTTTTAGTTTGTCCATGACATGAGGCAACTTACAGCTAGAAGTATTTTAGCTTATTATGAAACAGGCTGAAATCAACATAAAAAGTAGGCCTACAAAAGCTTACTTACTCTTTACTTACTCATCTGCAGGACAAAATAATCAAAGGATCCAACAAAAAACAACACAATTCAAGAGTTCCTCACAGGAGCTTTAACAAATGATTAACAGACGTTTGTTGTTTTTTTATTGAAATAGCTACCAATCTTTTTTTCTAAAGTATTAGGCTATAACACACGCATATTTTAAGAAACTCTCAGTAGCAACACATTATTTTAATTTGATTGTTAAAATCAATTTAAAAAAGCGAGTTTTCTGATCGTAACACTTAAAAATATATTTTCTACAGAAGAGTCCTGTTACAAGTTCAGCACTTTATTTTTAATATCCAAACCCTGAGATCTAATTTTTCAGTCGAGATATGGAGTCAGAAATGCCTCCGTTTTCATTTTATATAAATGAAATAAGGGCAACTTAAAGTTATAGAAGGATTCAAGATAAGTATGATGATGCAAAACGCGAGACTGTAAATTTCAAACTAATTAGTTTCGGAAACGGAAATACGAACCAAACGTAAATAGTAAAGGTGTCGAGATGCATCTTTAAGAGACATCCGGTATGCAACACCTAGCCTTCAAAATAAAAGCACAGAACTAAAATAATGTAGGCTATACAGTTAGTCTATGGTATAAATGCTGTACAGTTCGTACAGGAAAAACAAATGTAAAACTTATATTTTTTTTTACCTTTACCTCTACCTAAAAAATATCACAAAAAGCAAAGAGTAATAATAGCCTACATCTGTTTTGATACCCTGTATCATTGCAGTAAATAGTAAATGCATTAGGGATGCAAGGATCTATCGGATGAACATTGGTGATATCGGCCCATCTGCAGAATAATAGCCTATAGCATGCACCAATGTCAGTAGTGGATGTGTATCATTGTGTATGTTGTGTCACAACAAGTTAATGCTGATTCAGATTATAGTTTTTTTATTGGGAAGAAGTTTGCTGTTTGTCAAACTCTGTTTGTTTCTACTGGGAAATGTGAAAGAAAATGTTGGCAGTACTAGAGTCTTACATAATCTCTGGTAGAGATCTGCAAAATGCAGTTTGTAAGACATGATCCAGACATTTCAACATTAGTATAGGAATCAGCCCTGATTTTCACAATCAGTGCATCTCCACTATGTATCTGAACTTGGGTATATACATAAGCCTACATCTTTTTACATGATAAAATCGTCAAACAAAGTAAAGCTGAAAGCTTTCGTTTTACAGAGCTACGGATTAAATAGTGTTTAGAGAAGGAAACCTTTTTGTTCATTTACACTACAGGTCACTTTTAGAGAGATTACACAAATGGCTTTTAATCTGAAGGGTTTCGGACCGGAAGTCATTTTGTTGTTGCTGCTGTCGGATCTCAGACGAATCAGAAAATCAATTAAGTTATGAAAAATACCATTAATTGCCTTTCTTTGTCGCCGCAGCTCATGAAGAAATGGCGGATCTCCAGACTTTGTACATTTGCTGCGTCTAATGGCTCGTACACACGCGATAGAAAGCCTCTCAATCGACAGGAATATTTACGTCTTTCAGGTGAGTTAGCTTGACAGCTACTCGGCTAATTTAGCTTTAGGCTGTAGGTTAACATGTTTAGCTGCGGATTGTATTCACTGAAGATAACACCTGCCAGTCATTAGCTCTGACCTGCCTGCGAGGACGCGTTTTGTTTCGCCTCTTGTTGGGTGGCGCAGCTTCGGTTATCAAACATTTTTTTTCCTGACATTTCTTGTTGTGAGGTTCAGTGACAACATCAGCTAGCTGTGTGCTACGAGGACATGTTTTAAAAAAAATGCTAGCTGACTCGCTTGATTGCTCTCTGTCGGGCTGCAGAGCTAATGGGTTAGCCTGCCATTTTGCTTGAGTAAGCTTGAAGGCTGGAGATACTGGGGTGTAAAATGTGTGTGTGTGTGTGTGTGTGTGTGTGTGTTAACATGAAACCTGCTCAGCTGGAGTTTATTCTGCAAAGTGTGTCATCTACCAGGAGGTTTTGCAAGAACATGGTAGAGACACTGCAGGCAGAATAAACAAGGCTTTGAATACGTGAAGCAGCTGCAGGTCGTACATTATGTTACAATAACTAACTTACAATGACAATACTGTGACGGTTTCTGTTGTGTCAGGTTATAACATGTGGACAAATATGAATTTAATGACACCATCACTGTTCTCTAAAGACTTCTGTTACCCACATCAAAGACTGACTTTCACATGCAAAGTGGTCTATGCATGGTAATATATATATGTGTGTGTGTGTGTGTGTTGACCTATCAAAAATCAGAACTATTTGTTTATTCAGTGGAGAATTTATCGTATGCAAATGTATCATCAATGAGTCATTTATTTAAGAAATTGAAGACTACAAAAAAGTCACTGGTCCAAGCTTCTTAAAAATGATATTAATTGCTTTTCATACTCTTCCCTGATTATTACATGTTACTGCATGCATGTGTGGGGTTTTGACTGTAAGGAAGACGAATTAAAGGATTGGTAGGACACTTGTCAAATGCCTACTGTTGGCACTTGTCTTTTTAAGCCCTGATGGCAATTTTAATATGTCAAACATTGTTACACGCCTCAAGATGTCTTCACACATTTTTTTTTTACATCAGGTGGAAGTGGAACTTATTTAAGACTAGGTGGTGGCGTACATGTCTGAACATCAGATTCATTAATCGCAGGGTGGCGGTGGTGGTGCCATTGAAAGTGAATCAGTAAATTGCGACAGCCGCCATTGGCTGTCAGCCATCCATTTTGGACGATAGCATCGTCAATCGACCCAACCCTATTGCATAATGATTTATTTTTGTTTCTTTTGTCTTTTGTATTCAAAGAAATACTGAAGACTGTCTTCCTGTCTGACAAGAATGAGCTGATGGTTGTGGAAGTCTGCAAGAAGACGTTCCAGAAAAGAGAGAGGCTGACCGGAAGATGCCAAGAAAAAAACAACAGAATCCACAGCCAGTCAAGTGTAAGTACCAGGACTTGGAAGAGCTTTGTAGTGTCCACAGCTACACACCAGCACTAGTTTCCTACATCTGTATTCTAACGACGAGCCGTTACCGTGGCTTGATTGTTCATCTTATTATTTCAAAACAGTCGCCTGATTGATGGCAGGGTCGTTTACGACGTGCGTCCTGTTTCACATCTGAACACAAGGTGCTGCTGATGGAGTCCTCGAGATGTTTCACATCAATCATGCTGACCTTCATTTCTGTGACTAGTTCTGCCGTTGAATCCGTCATTAAATCTTACATATGTCAGAATAAACGTGAAATGTGTTCACTGCATGACAATTCTCGAGTATAAACAGAGACGGCCACTACTTGTGGTTACTCTAAATGATGTTAACCCTCTGTTATGTGTAGACAGGACGTTATGTGCGTTTATGTCCACGACATTCATTTAGAATCTGTTGTATGAGCCTGATGTCATCTATTTGTACTAATTTATTCATCAAGATATGGAACACTGTCTCGTTGATGCATATTGGCATTATGTCAAACCCTGTAATGAATGACCAGCAGATGGCAGCATTGATTGCGTTTCTTGAGGATTTCTCATTAAGGGCTTAAAGAGCACAATGCCCTTGAATTGGCCTCATTGTAGTTTTCTGAACAGTGACATCTGTGTGATAGCTGTTTAGACGCCATCAAGCTGGAGGAACCAAGACCAAGAATTTCAGGCATCATTAGCTGTGACTGCAGCAACAGAGCCCCATCTGTCTACTGTTAGCGTTTCACTTTACTTTAGAAAATGTTATTTTCTCTACTTTATCGCTGTGAATGTAACCATCACATTCGATAATGTTGGACTTTTACTTTTTACTGCCTAATTTAAAATGAATGGAAACTGTTGTGATGAAGGAACTTAGGGCAGCTGTAAAACTTTTTTACTGACCAAGACATTTGTTGCAACATGTGAATGGTCTGTTTGTTTGGATTTTTGACATCTATGTAAAATTATGTAATGTGTTTTATTGCATAGAGTTTAAATCCTCAGAACAAAGTTGTATAATTAATGAAAGTTATATTCAATTCAATTATTCTGGCAGGCCGTCAACCAACGATCTTGAGGAGCCTAAGAGAGCTCAAGAGCTCCCAGGAAAGTAGGTGGTTAGTGACTGAGATTTACAGATAGATACATGTAGTAATATGATGTACTGTATATGCACAGAGAGAGAGAGAGAGAGAGAGAGAGAGGAGCTCAAGGTGCCAGTTCCCCCGGTAGTCTAAGCCCATAGCAGCATAACTAGGAGCTGGTCTACACCAGCACTAACTAAAGATTTATCATTATCATATTAAGTTAAATGTAAGGCAGCAGCATTCTCAGTATCATCAGCTATAATTCTGTGTAATATAGATATGTCAAAAACATTTTGTTTCTGACTTTTTATGATTGGAGCTTATAATTAATATTTTTCAATGGAGAGGCAGATATTTACGGATACACTCGTGCTGTCTCGTGCTATTTTCTGGAGTTAATATGTGAAACTGGTAATGATTCATACTGTGAATCTCCAGCAGCTTCAGGGCTTGTTGCTTTCTGCTCTCCATGTCTAAACGGTTTGCCAAACTCACTAATGCTGATGCAGATTCTTTTTTGTCTTTTCATTTCTTTTCTTTGTTTTTTTTTGTTTTACAACTGAGCCATTAGTTAAATGATAGTCATGTAATGTTGTTGATTTTCTCCTCTCTGCAGTGGATTCTGAAGATGGTGTAGCATTTGAAGCTCCAGAAAACCTCATCTTAGACACAGACTTCCTTCTAGGAGACAACCTCGAGTTTGATGATCCTGATCATGAAGACAGGATTCTAGGCCTGGAAAAGTTCTCAGGTTTGTAATCCATTTCTAAACTCATGATCTAGTATTAAGTTCTGGATTGCACAAGAGCTCAGTTAAGGTTGATTGGGCAACATCAGAAATAAGATTTGTTCCTGTTATCCTCCTTTTTTTTCAACCAGTTTAAATAAGTCTCAGAACAAGTCTGTGAAGTTTCTTGCCAAAAATCCACTCACTTTAGCACGCCTGTAAACCTCTTCCTAGAGGGGGATGTGGCTCGGGGTTTCTCGCTCCATGCGCTGTTGTTTATTGTGAGAAGGCAGACTCAGGCCTAGTCCACATGTAGGCGGGTCTTTTTGAAAACTGAGGTTTGTCTGTGCGCTTTGGCCTTCGTACACATGCTACCTGCGTTTTAGATCACTGAAAATGCACCCTTTGGAAAACTCCTTTCCAGGGTGAAGAATGTCAGAACCTCAGTTTAAGGTGTTTGTGTAGACAGGGATTGACGTCGTTGTGCGACGCTAGCTGTCAAAAGACGGAGAGGATGGACTTTCTAATAATTTGGGGGTTTTGTAGACAGACTATGGACACAAATTAGTGTATGAAAAACATGGTGAAGTGTATTTTGCATAATATGTGACATTTAAAGCCGTAAAATGCTTGATTGAAGGTTTTATTTGCAATAAAAGTAAACTGAAGAGAAATTGTCACTGAAGGTGCTTTTCAACAAAGCACAGCAATAAAAACAGCATTTTCCCTTTAACTTAGACTGTTTGTGTCGAAATGTATTGAAACTAAAACCATTTTATTTGTAATCACATTTCAAATTGTTTTCTGGGAATCTCTTTTGTGAAGCAGAACAATTTCACAGCAGGTCAGAAAAGGCGATACCAGCTGCTAGTAACAAAGAGAGAAACTTAGAAAAGGTAAAGACATTAGAAGGCTACTGCAGGAGAAATCAGACTATAATTAGTATAATAATCAGTTTGATGTCTTTAAAGTCTTAATGACAGTAGCTTAAGGGCGCGGTCACACTGGCCATCTGTACCGTGCCCAAGCACGCTTCAACGCTAAAGTCCAGTTTGTTTTACCGGTGTAACCGCTCCGTATCGTGCTCAGGCACGGTACACTTCCTTGGCTTTGGCACACTTGGGAGAGGTGTGCTTTGGCACGGTACACTTCATGCACGAGCACAAGCACGCGGGTAAACAACGCTGACAGCCTTCATTATGGAGAAATCCAGAGTTTCATGTCTGTATCTGACTAACATGACACAATATAAGACACAAAGTAGCTGTCATGTTCTGTGTTGTTCTCCGAGTCAGCCGCGCGTCTACTTTATTTTTTAAATTTATTTATTGTTGTGTCTGATTAAAATGGCTTAAAATAAGCTGTAAAGTAGCTGTCATGTCCTGTGTTTTTCTCTGATGTGCAGACGCGGACTCGACTGCGCGTCTCTCTCTCTCTCTCTCTCTCTCTCTCTCTCTCTCTCTCTCTCTCTCTCTCTCTCTCTCTCTCTCTCTCTCTCTCTCTCTCTCTCTCTCTCTCTCTCTCTCTCTCTCTCTCTCTCTCTCTCTCTCTCTCTCTCTCTCTCTCTCTCTCTCTCTCTCTCGTCTGCTTGTTTGTAAACTGAGCACGCTTCATAATAACATAAAGCGTGCATGTGTTGTATTACGACGTTATGTACAAGAGGTAACCGTGCTTAGGCACGGATAGTCCTGTGTAGTGTGACCGCGGGCCGCGCCGGCCAGCGGGGGGATGACACTGCAGGGGGGCAATCGTGCTTGGGTACAGCACGGTACAGATGGCCAGTGTGACCGCGCCCTAAGAGCCTGCCTTTTATACAGAGTCTTACCATCTACTTCTGTTTTCCTTTTTAGTGTCGCCCTGCTTTCAAATATAGTGTGTTCTGGTTCTGTGTTAGTATAATTCACAGGCATTTTCTCTCATGTCCTGCAAATGTGTCTGTTGATGAAACAGTTAAGATAACAGGAGAAACACAAAGTTATCATTAGTTTTAACTACACGTGTTCAGAAAATATGATAGAATTGTTATGTTAGTTATTTGGATGGTTTCAACCCTAAAGGACACGTAGCAGAGGTGGTTTCATTTGTACTACAAAGAGGACTGGTAGGTTTGCTTTTGATGATGAAGAGTGCCCCCGCCCCCCCTCTGTGCCACAGTAAGAGAAATGGAACTAGCTGCTCATATTTCCCAGCATGCCTCTTTGTCAGAGAGAGTGATCTGAAAAATGGGAAAGTAGAGAAAGGAGCTGAGACGCCATTATTATATAATGGTCATAAAAATAGGACCATTACCATCAAGGACACCATTATAAGAGGGTACGTATTCATCATCATCATCATCATCATCATCATCATCAGCCCCGGCTCCCACCACCATTACCGTTTCCTCCTCATCATCATCATCATCATCATCATCATCAACATCATCATCATCATCATCATCATCATCATCATCATCTGCAGCCTCACCATTATAGTCATCATCATTATCATTAGGCTGGTAATCATCCACGAGGGGTTTCCAGGGGGCAGATAAAAGGGCAGCGTCGACCCTCTCCTTCCTCACATCCCGCCTCAGTGTTCGAGCAGTGAGGTGCTTTTCTTTTAGCTCCCTGAGCCGACTGAAGCCACAGTGAACAGGGTGGTCTTGAAGCTTTTCTTCATCCCTTCAGGGAAAAGTATCTCTTTTTTTTTTTTTTTTTTGCTTTCTTTTGTCTGAACACTTCAGATGGAACGTGATCTTGCTGGTAGCTCTGTGAGTATCAAATGTTTCTCTCTGAAATGTTACTTTCCTTCGCTGTGAAGAGAGAGCACATGTGTGATGAAGTCACTTTACTCGGGCTGCTTGTTCTTCATTGATCAGAGAGTGTTGATCCTTTCATTGAGATCCGTCGGCAGGGATAGTGTTTGGATTGGACTTTTGCTTCCAGGGGTCTCACTTATAAACCGTGTTTCATGAAGAGTGTAAGTAGTGTCTTTGGAAGTCTAGAGTGTTCTTTTTCTTTATGTCATAAGCTCTCTTTTTATTAGGATGCTCTTTCTGATCCTTGTATACATGAGTCTGGTTCTGCTCCATGTTTCAGGATTTTTTTTCTTGACACTGTTGCCAAGTGATTTAACAGTTGGATAAAGTCGGGTGTCTGTAAATAACATAGCAAAGACTACCGTCTAGACCGGCTCTGTGTATATATGCTCTGCATGTTCCATTTACTTTAAATTGAAAATGAAGTCACATTTTATTTTAGTGATTGGAGTGTTGAATTTGTCCACAATGTACTGCTTCAGTGATATTTTTACTTTAGAAAACACATGAAATAGTTATATATAAATGTTGTAGATTTAATAAATAGCAGGACGGATATATGCTGAAATGACATACAGACTGTCTTTGAGATCACTTACTGCTCATACTATATAGCGCGTTTGACATTTTGTCTGAATGTTGAGTTAGAAATGTTGTAACTTATGTAGAAAAGTATGCCACAATGCATGCTATCAAGAACTACGCAACCAGTGGTGACTTATCCAGCTCTTTATCACCCATCACCATGCATTGTGCTCATATTGAAAGAGAGAAAGATTTGGGACACACCCTAGACTGTTTTTTTTTGGAGATTAAAGGTGCAGTGTTTGAAAACGTCTTTTTCCCTTGCCTCCTGTACAGAAGTAGCAGCAGAGATCGGTTTCTCCGTGTACCCTCTGGCTGATGAGGAGAGCCCTGCCTACAGCCAGCTCAGCATGGAGAGTGATCCAGAAAACTCACAAGATGCCACCGACAACGGGAGGGAAGACGAGGGCAGATCGTCCCAGTCAGAGTCCGGTTTCCCTCCCTACCTGTCATGCAGGGGCTGCGGTCAGCTCCGCGATGAACCTTTAGGACCGGGCATAGACCTTCTGGGTCCGTACTGCCTCCGCTGCTGCAAAGCCTCAAGGGAAGCCAAGAGCACGGACTTCTGCTCACCTTTTGGGAGCATGAGTGGGATCCGCTCAGGTTTGCAGCTAGACAATGAAGGCGTGGGGAACGGCATGGTGGACAAAGCACTGACGGCTGAAGACAAATTCCCCAAACTGCACTCATGTCACATCTGCGGCTTCTCCTCGCGCTACGCCAACCACGTGAAGCGTCACATGAAGACGCACAACGGGGAGAAGCCCTACAACTGCCCTCTGTGCACTTATGCCTCGGCCCAGCTGGTTAACCTGCAGAGACACCTGCGCATTCATACCGGCGAGAAACCATACAAGTGCGACAGCTGCACCTTTGCCTGCAGTTCTCTGGGCAACCTCAAGAGGCACCAGCGCATGCATGTTCCCACTTTGGGGGCGGTGCATGACACACCACAACAAGCTGCCAGTGGACAAAACATCCTTAAGAGGCATGTGACTGGGCAGAGAGTCAATGAGGAAGTGTCTGGTGCTTCAGCCAAGGGTATGTATCATTTCCTCAAATAATTATTTCCTCATCTCCATAAAAAAATGTTTATACTCAACTCTCATGAAAATCCTCTGGCCTAACGAGATCATATTTTCAGAACTATTTGTTGTATAATTATGTAATCAGTCACCTTCCTATTTTGTGAATTTTCAGAAGTTGTGAGGCCGACTTCAAATCTAAATCTGGGCACCCAGAACGACTACCTGCCAGCCTTTGATGGCTTAAAGGGGGCGTCACCACCACCCGTACCGGCCTCTAATCCGGCACCTAGCCACCAACCTCCACCCCTGCTGGAGAACATGGGAAATGCAGGCGGCAGAGTGAACAGAGGGGGTGTAGCAGACAATGCTCCCCTCCCATCTTCACTTTTCCCTTTCACCTGCCGGTTGTGTGGCGTTGTCCTTGAGGACGAGGACGGCTCCTCCGCCCAGATCTGTGCCAAGTGCACCCTTGAAATGCTGACTAAAGACTCGTCCTCGTCTCCCAACAGCCCAGGAGAGCGCAGTGACAAGGTTTACACCTGCGCCTCTTGCCCTTTCCTCACACACTACCCAAACCACCTGGCACGCCACATGAAGACACACAGCGGCGAGAAACCGTACAAGTGCCCACAGTGCGACTACGCCTCAGCACACTTCGACAACCTCAAGCGGCACCACAGGGTGCACACAGGAGAGAAACCTTACAAGTGCCATTTGTGCGACTATGCCTGCGGGAACCTGGCCAACCTTAAGCGCCACCAGCGTGTGCACTCGGGCCTGAAGCCATTCCAGTGCGCTGTGTGCAGTTACAGCTGCAACCAGAGCATGAACCTGAAGCGGCACATGCTGCGGCACACGGGAGAGAAACCGTACAAATGTGCGGAGTGCGGCTACACTACTGGCCACTGGGACAACTACAAGAGGCACCAGAAGAAGCACGGCCTGGCCACAGACGGCTGGGTCAAAGTCCCGGCGACGGGCCATGATGAAGAACAGGAAGTGAGGAAAGCGATGGGAGCAGGCAGTCAGACTCACAGAAAAGAAACAGGGGTCGATATGCAGTTCATGTCCAGAGAGGGAGGACAGACGATGCCCTCATGCTACAAACTGGAGATTGTATAAAAGAATAAAAAAAACTCAGCAAAACTAAGCTACCAGCAACTTGTTTTATTTTAGTTTTTTTTCGCACAGAGCCTTTATATTGTTTTTAAGTGTGTTGTCATTCTTTAAGTGTTTGTCAGATGTCTTCAAAGGCTGCTAATTGTTTATTTGTAGAATCTCGCACAATATGGAAAAACTATTATTTTGAATCTCTACATCCCTTTTCGTTTGAGAAAGGTGGATGAGTCGGTGTTAGAGTCAAGAAAAAAGGGAATTTTCTTCTTTACAAGTTGACTGTCTCATTGTGTAAGTTACCCCACACTAGTCTATTACAACATATCTCCCTTATATTACCACATACTATATGCCACTTTTCATCCTTTGACAGAGAACACTACCAAATACACCTCGAATGAACTGAACTTGTGCACATTTTTTGCCTGAGTTGTTGAGTTGCACTGTGTAGTTTGTATCAGTTTTGACTTCTATATTAAGACAGACCTGTCCTCTTTTTGTGTGCCAAAAATACCATGATTTGTTACTTAGTCGTTGTCTCTCCCCATCCCATTATTTACCCGACTTATATTTGGTTTGCGTCGTCAGGTTATTTAAATAATTTGATTACATTTTCTGGCATGTTTTCATGAACTACACAGTGCAGCTTCAGTAAAGATGAAAGACGGCTCCTTGTAAAGGCGGCTGTTGTGCTCTGTTTGCATTGGAGCATGTGCCTGTGTATGCACTACTAGCAAAGTGCTATTCAATAGTACTGGAATTGTCTCACACTTCGTCATTGTTTCATTTGTTTGTGTTTCCGACTAAAAAAAAAACAATCTCCAGTGTCTTCAACTATAAAAGTCACTTTTGCCAAATCCCTCAGGATTACAAAATGTGATCTGGTCCTCTTTAACATTGTAAAGAAAGAGGAAAAAAAAACTTCATAGATTGCATGCTCAGCATTTTGAAAGACCCCAGTCTTGTCTTTGTTTTTCGTTGAAAGAAAAAGCACAATGATAACTTAAACAGGTGCGTTTGGAAAGTTTACAAAAAAGCTGTAAAGGGAATAATGTGTTGACATCACTTTTATGTAATTTGGCATGTTGCCAATACAATTTGTATCCTCAACATTTTGGGTTTTCTTTTCTTTCTACACATCATTACAATTCAAATGTGCAGGACATTAACGTGTTCATTTTGCTGCCTTAAGCAAACCACCGTTGTTTTGATCACTGCTGACTGTGAAACTAGCCCACTCTTGTGTTTTTACTTTGAAAAAAACAAGATGACACCATTAGTGAGCATGTGTGTGTATCATAGTCGTCTGATTTTTCTTATATGACTGTAACACACTGCATACTAGATGTGCATACTTAAATATATAGATTTGTCTTTTTCATTTTGAATGTGTGATGTGTCATGTAGGTATCATGGGGAAAAAATAGGAACTGTGATTTTTAATTTGAGTCTTTTTGAATTACTATTATATGCAAGAGAGAGATTTTTCAGGTTGCCAACTTTGTGTGACAGGATGGAGCGCCCATTGATTAGTACTGACATCCCCCAAGTGTCCATTTTCTGTCTTTATGCAGTGTCTCATAAATGCCTTAAGTGAGGATTTTTGAAATAAACATGTGGAATTTATGTCATTGAATGTCAGACAGCAGACTGAATCTTTGTTTTTTTTCCTCTAGCATGGAGGATGTTAGCATTAAGCTCATTGCACATGGCTGCTAGCGTGGCAGCAGTCATAAATCAACAACTATGGATCTCATACTAAACGTGTAAATACCAGAGTCAGATTAAATCAATAGTAAGGCAAAAAATATTGGCTGATATTTGCTTTGCACCGATAAATCCCTTTAAGCACTTGGGGTGTAAATGACAACCTGATTTCATATGCAGCGAGGCTTTTCTCTAACAAACTGTTGAGAAGTTCAGATTTTCATCTCCTGGTTGCTCTTTGCATGACACATCTGAAAACGAACGCTTCATAATGATGAAAGCATGACATGGCCCATAAACAAAGCAAAGACCACAGTATGATCTGATTTCAGAGTTTATTGTAGCGTCATAATTCCTGTCACTGACCTTTTACACTTCAATCAAAATGAAACGCAGCGGAATGAACGAAAGTCGATACAATCTTCATGAAATCTGACATTTGTTGTTAAAAGTGATGCTGATGATAAATGCACTTTCAGTTTGGCACCTAACACACATTAATGAACAAGCAGGACCTTGAAGCTTCCACATACATGGAATTTGACAGGAAATTAAAAAATGATTGGTAATGTCAGAAGAGACATTTATATTGAGAACATTATGCCGACAGTTTAGGCTACCAGTGAGAGTAAAGCTGCTGATAGGTTGGTATCCGTTTACATGTAGAGGCTTAAAAAACACGATGACAGATGCTAACAGCTATAAAAATGGAATGACGTCTTCAAAAAAAAAAAAAAAAGCGGGAATTGTTCATTTTGTTGCTCGCTCACTAAAAACTTTGTTCTCCAGCACTTGTGATCACATGAGCGTCTTCATCAAAGCACCTTATCTTCTAAATCCTCTGAGATGATTGGCACAATGTACATACTAATTACAATGAACTGAAGCCTGGAGGAACGCTCCTACGACGCCATCACTCGCCCACAGAAAAGACAGAAAATCAGATGCAGAATTTGTAAACACTTTACATTTGAACTAAAAAAAAAATGCCTCTACACATAATGTAAACCATGATACATGTTAGTCCATTTCAATTTGTGTTCTATACAGTTTAGATTACATTTGATCTATTGGATTACAATAAGCTATTGATGATAACATATTAGTAAATGTTCAGAATACTTAATTGCATGTACATAATATAAAAAGTGACATTGTCATAATTTTTTATGTTTATTTTGTGCAAAATGCTTTAGTAAACTATAATTTGGCATTTATGAGAAACCTTTAAAAAATTGGTCCTGAAAAAAAAAAAAATCTTCGATGGATTTAGAGAGCCACACACAATGTTTAAAGTCAAGCTTCCACTCAAACATTCATCTCCACCTGTAATACTGTGCAAAGTTCGGCAAGTTCGGCAAGATTTAGGAAACACCGGCTGACACTCGCGCTTATTTGAAGTTTCAACCAATGTCTTGTTGAATGATACGGTGGCCCACGAGGCAAAATAAAAAGTACGAGTTAAGGCATCAGACTATTTCTGAAGGCAGTATGAGTGACTGTGCCTCTAAAAACATGACTCATCATCTGCTGAGATATTTACCGACTTGGCACATGAGGAGCGTGACACACTTACAGTATAAAAACATGACATTTTGGTATTTAGCCAAGCCAAACGTTGATCATACATAGAAGTAAGCGGTTGCTGTGAAATGTCTACAGTTTTTAAAGTCAATTTCAACACATTCACTGGACTCTTGATCATCATGACCCCAAACATCCAGCTCTGCTGTTTTATCACTAGTGCCAGGTCGTACTCAAACTTTGGCCTTCTGGTTCAGAGGGAACATGCAGCCACTAAGGGAGGATCTAGCAGGGTTTTTTTCTTCATGTAGTTTATATTTTAGACTTACGTTGTACCTTAAGAATGTAACTGCCTAATAGTACTTTACTTCTGCTGTAGATGACACACCAATGAATCTGAAGTAAGACATTTTCAGACCTTAATGTACTGCAAGCGTCCCTATTTGAGTACCTGTAACTTTACATGCTAGTTACTGTATGTGGCCACGAGTTTAACAGCACAGGGATTTTGAAATTGAAATGATTGAAGCTAAAGTTCAAATCTAGAGTAATATAAATGAATCTGTCAAAGATTAAATGAGAGCTTAAGGCAGCAAATTCTCCAGGAAAAAGCTACAATCTCGCAGACTTGGACACCTGTGTGGTTCACATGGCTCGGCTCAGCTCAGCTTGTAATCTTTGTCGGCCCAGTTGCTGAGAGTGGGCGATGAAGAGGGGCGTGGGGCGGATCATGGGTTACAGGTCGTCGTCCCCGATTCCCTCGAAAGCGTAGTTTCCATGGAAATCATTGCCGCTGATGTCGTTGGCGGAGTTGGAGGCGCTGATCCCTCGGAGTGACACCGAGTTCAGCTTGGTCTAAAGAAAAAAAATCAATGATGTATTTAACAGTGACGGTGATTTATTAGAAAACATTTTAACACTCTCACACCGTCAAATAATTTAAGGGTGAAAAAAATCGACTCACTGAGAGTTTGACGATTTGTTCACGGCTCTGGTCAGGAGATTCCTGCAGCAAAAACAACAGGAGTTCAATTATTCTGCAACTAAAATCTATCAAAAGTCAAAGTAAGAGCATGCTATTCCTTTTCTCACCAGTAGAGGGGGGGATTTCACAGCTTGCTGACTGTCTGTCCTGTGGATGGAGCCGTTGTGTCGTTTCCTCAGCATCTAGAAGAGGATGGAGACAGCAGCAGAAGCGACAAAGGTAAAAAAAAAAAAAAATGTCCCGAAAATTGCTAAATTTACTTTAAGATGTTTTAATTTTAGCACTACAAACCAATGAACTACTAATCCTATAATCACTACATTAAAAAAGAAAGATATTTTTGATAAATCTGTTCTGCTCAAAAAAGAGGCTCTGGCTCTTTTTATGTGTTATCATAAGTAAATCTATAATAAAACCTGTCATATCCAATAGGGGAAGCAGGTGTAACATCCTATGCAGATATGAGTATCTTAATATTCAAAAGGATGTGGATGACATTTAATGACATCACTGCACTTATTAAATGGATATGTTGTGTGTACCTTCTTTATGCTGCCTCCTGATTTCTTCACCATTAATTCGTCCACCATAGACTGAAGGCAGATACTCATCATGATAGCCTGAAATCACACAATAAAAAAAAAGACTTCAATCATTATGATGATGGGAACACATCTTGTTTGATGAGTATTCATTCCAGTGTGGTTTAACATCTTTTAAGACATTTTGAAAATACATACCGGTCTAGCTTGAGTGTGGCTTCAATGCATTGACCATAACAATCACTGTGATTTAATGCTCTACTACGCCTAATGCTGGTAGCCCCCACGCTGAGCCCGTCTGACTGTTTACCTGTTGACTGGTGATGGTGACCCACTGCAGGCGGTCCTTGCTCATCAGATACTCGAAGGCCAGCTCCAGCTTGACTTCACATTTGGATGAGCTGCAGGGATTTGTCGTGCCGTTTGTTATCGGGACTTGCTGCAGAGTGGGACACAAAGAAGGAGAGTTAGGATTCGGTCGTCATCATTATCTTCTTTTAAATTAGCGATGCCATGCACCACAACTGCTATCATCAACCGCTTGGGATTTATTATTTAATTTATCCTACAATTTCCATTTCTTTGTCATTCAAGTAAAATATGTCATCCTTAACCGAACCCCAGCTTGCATTCTTAAGCCTGCTATTCAACATCATCAACTGGAGGGTTGTGTAAGCAGCTAGATCACATCTGCTATCCTTTATCTCCATGTGTAAGCTGCAATTCTTAAGCTGCTGCATCACCAACCACAGGCACCCAAATCTAAAGGAGACGCGTGCTAAAAGATTAACGTGGGTGCAAAGAGAGAAAGACAGAAATATGTGCAAGTGCAGAATTTTAAATGCCTTCACGAAGCACACACACACACACACACACACACACACACACACAGCTCCCTGGAGATGAGCCCTCATTCCTCATTAATGGAGCCTCTGCTCCTCACTGTGACGGTTTCCTGTGGGCCAGAAAGTGTCTGCACCTCCCATAGTAACAACACACGAGGATAACATAAGCACCGAATGTGATGTTTTGAATAGTTAGTCGGAGAGGAAAGGGCTCATTAAAATTACTCTGACCTCTTAAAATGCGCTCAGGAATTAAACACCCCACTGGACAGCGAGAGGGCTCAGTCCATAATCAGACGAGCCAAAATGTATTTTAATTTTAGATGTGTTGCTATGTGTCCACATCTCTGTGCAAATGTACTTTTGGAGAAGCATAAAAAGCTTCTGTGATTCACATAATGACTCTGCTGTTCCAATGCTGATGCAACGCAAAAGTGAGCAGTGTTCCCATCACCATTTAAATTAGGTCTTGCGACTGTGAATGTTCATCTTTCCAAACGCTGGCTGGAATGATGTGGATAGAGCTGCACAGCATGCTTTTGTCATCTTTTTTTTTTTTTAAGTAAAAAAATAGATCGTCATGCTGTCTCTTTTCAAGATGAACAACTCGTTGGAAGCGGGAGAGAAACATGCAGATTAAAGACGGATTAACTGTGAGGTGCAGGATGGCTGAAATGTGTTGTAGGTGTAGCACTAGCTGTAGCTTTAAATTCCTCAAACTAAGCAATAGGGAACTTGAACTGGGAATTGCCCATAAAAAGGAAATGGATCTAAAGTTGGCATTTCTTTTTAATGTACCCTTTCTTAACACACTATTTACTATTTAAAGTCAAATGACATCATCATCAGCTCATCAGGAAAAGTTTTTTTTACAAATGTAAAGCTGACTGTGACTGATGGGTCATCAGCCGCCGACAATTCTTGAAAAATAACACAACGTAATCATTTTCAGTTCCTTTCTTCTCTCTCACTGGCAGTGAAACATCTTGCATTGATTAATTACAGTGAATCAGTGAGTAGTCCTGATGAATCAATCAA